CAAGTGATGCATGAAGAAGCTTTTAGACTAGTGCCACATTTAGGGCAAAAAAAGATGAAGATTTAATCTAAAATAAAAAAAAAGCTTTCATAACACATCATTAAAAATTAGGGACGCACCGATATGAAAATGTGGGCCGATATCGATATCCCTGTTAACCCGATACCCAATTTTTACCAATATTCAATTAATATAAGAAAATATCTGTACGCTAAAATATATAAATTATATATAATTATAATATTATTATTATATACTCCACACACATTTATGCTTCTGAGATGATTACTATCACTGTCATATGACAACACACTTTACATTATCACCCCCTTCCCCTTCTGAAACGGATACACAAATGGCTACTAGATATAAAAAAAAACTAGTATTTGTTATTAGTGATTCGTGGTGGATGGCTGCTTATACTGAGCCAGGATTCTCTGGAGGTTTCTTCCTGTTAAAAGGGAGTTTTCCTCTCCACTGTCGCTAAATGCTTGCTTAGTGTGAGGATTGCTGTAAAGACTCTGACACTAGATGCAATTTGCTGGGTTCCTTATACAGGAAACTTTATTTCTGATTGGCTTAATGAACTGACCTGGATTGGAATGTTTACTGTGCGAAGGTCCTTGAGACGACTCTTGTCGTGCTTTGTAAATAAACTTGAATTGAATTGAAAAAATTGAATTATTATTGGCCCAGTTTCATATATCAGACCGATATCGATATACAAAAAAATGATGCAGATATTTCATGAATGCCTATTAAAAATATGTTTGGCCTGCCCCTGACAGCAGTAATGATTATTTAATTTCCTCAGATTTCAGTGTCAACGTTGCCGAAGATTTTGGTCCTCAGCCCATGTGTCTGTGTTGTTCCATTACCGGCTGAGGAAAAAACGTGGCATCGTGGTCATGCGGCCTTTTGGTCAAGCATGTCTTGACTGTAAGGGTCGATTTACCCTTCCTTTTTTCTCCAAGGAAGATGTGGAAAAGGTTTTGCTAAAGCTCTTTTCCAAGATCCGGAAGAATTGCTATGGGGAGCATGACGAGGATGACGAACCACCACCTTCAGAGAGAGTTGTGTTTACCAAACCTCATGTGAGTGAGCTGTGTGAGGCCTGTCAGCAGGGAACCTGCAGTCAGCGTGATGACCCATAATTTGTCTAGGAGAGAGTAGTTATGAGTACATGTGCATGTGTGCATTTATACAACCTTTTGTCTTTATTTCATAATGATCTTTTATTTCAGTCATAATGATTCAGGAAGCATAATTGTTTTAATCAAATTATTAATCTTTCATCTGTTTATGAAATGTTATAATTTGATGACTTTATTTTTTCTGACGTTAATCTGATTCTGTTTTGAGATCATTTTGATTTAATTATGTTAGTCTATTTACTTTGTTTTATTTTGTTTTGATCAATGTGAAGAACTTTTTGATTCTATGTACGTGATGAGTGTTATATAAATAAAATTTACTTACAAACATGCACACAACTGGTTTCTTTTCTTTTTATTTATTGTGAGACATTATGTGGAGGTTTCCTGTTGTTTACGACTGTTATGATAGTCAAAATTGTTTCAATTGTTAATATTATTGCGATTGTTAATGTTAGAATTGTTGATAAATTTGAATAAACATTTATTTTGGCAATTATCAACTGCTTAACTTCATTTTTGTAAGAGTTGTTTTAAAATCTGAAACTTGATTTGTCAAATCTACTTGCAACAGCAGCTAGAAGATAAACAAATCAACAATAATTGAAGCTTTTTTACATTTATGAATAGTTTTTATGAATTTTAAAAACAGTCTGACAATAAAAACCCCTTCACAACACTCATCCTCCAACACACACACACACACACACACACACACACACACACACACACACACACACACACATACATGCCCCCCTTACCCATGGTAAAAAACACGATTGACTGAGATCAGATGAGCCAGACCAGCTAAGATTAGGATAAGGAAACGCCATCGGGGAGACATCCGCCCCGGCAGCAGCAGCCGAGGCACTGACACAGGGTGCCCAGGGCAGAGACCCCCCACCTCCACCTAGGCACACCTGGATAGCACCCAGGCCACCACAGCCGACCACCGTCGCCGGGGCAGAGGGCTCCCACAGAGGAAGCACTTGAAAAAGGTTAAATTATAAAATCAAAACAGATCAAATGAGAATTGTAATATAAAAATTTATATAGATATTAAAATAATGTTGATCATAATATTATATTGTTTTAAATATTAATTTACCACTAATAGCTGTTAATAATTAATTAATTTCATATTCTCTGATTAAACGATGTAATTTATCACATTTGTGCACAAGCTTTGCTAATCAGAGGGAGTGGATTTCCCCTTCCCTATTTATATTTACACCTGGCATCTTCCGGCCTCCCCACTCGTCAAAACTTACTTACGTAGCGTCGCAGCCAGCCAATCAGAGGAAGCCCTCTGTTCGAACTGAGCATGCGCGTATGGGTCCTCTTCGTGGCAGCGTCCAGTCTGATAACACAGTGAAGCAGAGCAGCTCGTATCGCCTCTGCTGTCAAGCAGCGGCGGCAGCAGCATCCGCCGGGTCTGGTGGCGGAGAGGATGGTCCACCGGGGAAGCGAATGACAGCCGTCCGACAATGGCCCTCGATGTCCGCAAGTTTCCAAACGTGTAAGTTAATCTGCGGAGGTTTGCTGTAGCTCAGTGTCGCCAGTATAAGCTAACGCGTCGCGCTAACGTTTACCGAGGAGCTGGCTCAGCCTCGGTAACAACAGAGCGGCAGGCTGGTTTGGGTGGTTACGTTTTCCCCATGGCACCGCCACAGCCTGGCGCGAGGTGGAGGGAGAAAAAAAATACCCGTCCGACAACATTTTGGTCAACCTGCACCTTTTCCAGCCGCCTGGCTGTTGTTCACACAAACTGCCACAGTGTTGTTGAACAAAGGAGCTTTAAAAACGAGGGGCCGCATGGACAAACATGCAAAGGGAAGTCGGTTGCTTGTTTGTTTTGTGTTCCATTTCATGCTGACACACTTCGGGGGATAACCACCAGAGGTCTGACCTGGATATTTAGCTAGAAACACCGCGACCTAGCTAATTTTGTGTAAAGTCGAACTGTGTATCCCTTCGCAGCTGCTGCTTGGACTCCAGCAAGTTTTACGCCTCTTTCGGCTGAAAGACTTTCGTCTCGCAGCAGCTTTATACTGCTGAGTGGTGATCCATACTGTGAGTTGACTTTTAACTCTCTCCAGGGTGTCTTTGTTTGTGTTTATGCCTCAGTTAATTTACCTGAACTGTTTTTAATAACACTGTCCTGACAGGTGAGCCTGAGGTGACTGACTTTTTTCTAACAAAGCCACATTTTATTTTATTGTGTGAGAAAAGTGAAACCAGCCCTTGGATTCATTGTTATTAAATGACTTCTTCACCATATAAAATACTAGCCACGGTGCTGATAACAACCCTAAATGTTTACAACTCTAAGCTGACCCAGCTGATCGCGATGATCTGACAGTGTGTAGCTGTTGCTGATGACTTTCCAATATTTTTCGGGTGCATTTTAATTTTTTCTGGTGGGAACCTGACCTGAGTCGTTGGAGCGGATCAATATGATTGAGCTTCTTGAGCTCAAGGGTCGTTAAGTTGTATGTTTAGTGGACAAGATGTTCAAACCTTTTGGTTTGACTGTACCAAGTGATAGGGCTGCTTGATTACAGAAATAACTCTGAAAATATTATTTTTCTGAAGGATTAATCACAGGATTCACATTTTAAAGGTCTTATTAAGCTGATTTACAACTCATTAGCTGTGGTCTCTTAGCCAGGCAAGCCATAAGTGAATATATAGTGTGGCCACGACCCATAGACAGAGCTCAGTCGTGGGGCAGAATCTACGGTTGTTTTTCAAACTGTCTCCACATGCTATTGGACAACGAACAACGTGACGTACTCACCGCTATGGATGTTTGTCAATGAGGCTGTCCGCCATACACTGTTGAAGGTGCAAATAAATCCCTTTTCTAAATAAAGGACTTAGTACCTCTGTCTGCTCTCGACTCAAAGAAAAGCCCAAGTCTAAATAGTCCAAAGTTGATGCCAAAGATGTTTCAAACGAGCTGCCACCATCTTAGCTGTTCTGCTCTGTCGCATCGAACCACCACACTAATACAGCTCTATAGCACAAAACCGATCGGGCCAGTGATGGACCTGCTGAGGCTACCGTGGATCATTTAGCTACTGTCTGTCCATATTTCTAGGCTAGTGGTCTCTAGTGTGAATGAATGCTTTGTGAGCCGTTTTCTGCAGAAACGGTCACTGGCTAACAGCAACTCTTGCTGCCTTTGGTCATTCTTTCTTTTGTAAAAATGCAACGTGTATGTTTTATCTCCACAAATAACACAAGCCCGAACAATTTAGGGATGGGTACCGAATTTGGTACTTTTTAAGGTACCGACCGAGCACCGATTCATGTCATTTCAAACGGTGCCTCGTTTCGGTACCCGTCCATCATAACGAGAACTTGCCAAGACAGCTGCGCATGCGCAAGAGCGTTATGTCGTCGCTCATTGCGAGCCAGTTGTAAACAGAGCAGCATGGTAGAAAGAACGCACGCTAAAGCTTGGGTCCACTTCACTAAATGTGATGGGTAACTGGGTGATGATGAAACCAGCGACAACGATCTAAGTGAGACATCCTCATCTTAATCTGCTCCGGTAGGTAAATATAATTAGCTTGATATGTTAGCTTCCGTTTCGCTAATGGTGCGTTCGCTTTCTCCTCGGAACTCCGAATTCCCGACTAGAAGAACATGAACGCGCACTAAAGTTTGGCTTCACTTTACTAAATGCGACGGGTGATTGGGTGAAGACGAAACCAGTGACAACGATCTAAGTGTGAGGCATCATCGTTTTAATCTGCTCCAGCAGCTAAATAAGCTGTTTAAGATAATGTTAGCTTGGTATGTTAGCTTCCATTGCTACCATTGTTATCAGCTAATGGTGCGTTCGCTTTCTCCTCGGAAATTCTAACTTCCCAGTAGGAAAAATCAAATGAAAAAAGACGGCAAAAGGAATGAAGATACACAGTAAATTTAGTTCACAGTAAAGATGTTTGCTTCAGTTTAATTATCAGCTTATAAAACTACAAGGACGATGTTAAAATACAAACAGTTGAATGTTATTTATCGTGATATTTATCAAATATTGTTATATATTGAGAAAAATATATATTTAATTATAAAAGAGAATTAAAATAGTAAACACTCAAAAGTATGGAAAATTGGTACCGTTAAGTACCGGTATCGATTCCTAGGTACCGGGAATTAGTACCGGATCGATTCAAATCCCTACCGAACATGTCCTTCCGTGTTGTGGAGTTGCTAATGGTTAGGTTCCTCTAGCCAAGACGCTGCTCTCTATTGGCTGCAGAATCAACACAGCCTTTGGTAGTCGGTTGCCGGAGTGGACGTGGCCAGAAATGCTAAATTTTGCTATGACATGGAAGAGCCCGGCTTTTTCTGACCTGACCGTTTTCCAGTCTGCTTAACTCATTCGCTGCCAGCGTTTCTCACCATTTTTTTAAAAGTCACAGAACGTTGCACGCTAGGATGATGTAGACGCCAAAAGACTCACCTCTTGCATCAGGAAGAATCCGCGCGTTTCAAGCGTTATCCGTTCTTTCATAATCCGTTGTTGAATTGTGATCGGCTGAAGCTTTTCCGGTTCGCGCCTCACTTTTTTTTACAGCAGCGGCCCAAAACGATCTAACACATGGATTTTCTGCTTCCTGATCACGTGACGTATGACGCACGCGGATGAAGATCAGCTTTAGAGCTGAGATGTTTGTTCTCACAGTGCGGGGGCTCGTCCGACGCCCACACAGTAAAAACATGCAAATGACTACTTTAGTCGTCATTGGCAGTGAATGGGTTAATTTATGCGTCTAATGTGGGTGATATTTTATGTACGAGAGACGATGCTTTCAGCTGTAAATACGTAAGGGGGAAGAACAATGTAAGGTGCAGTTCATTTTTCAGCCTCTAGACGGTGCCATCGGATGAAAACAACTCTGGATTTCTAATTTAAGAAGAGTGCGGGTATCGATTTGGGTCAACAGGTGGCATAGTTGAGCTGTTTAGCTGTGATTTACGAGGTATACAAGACATGGTAATTCAGGACTGTTGTAAAATCAGAGAAGAGGTGCTAAAGGAGCCCAGATCCAAGCAGTGAGTCAAGTTCACATAAAACTGTTTGTGCTTGGAAATAAAATCTTGTGGGACCAACATGGCTGGGGGCCGCTCCACTGAGAGTGTGGGATTAATTTCTGAAAATAATCCGAGGAATGATTGTTTCCCCACGCTGTAGGTGTGTTTTGCCCTCGTTCTGCCACGTTTGCCAAGTTTAGCCTCAGGACGAGGTGGAAGTGCTCATCACTCTGAAAGAAAAACAAAACGATTCAAAAGTCTCTCCCTTACATTTTGCTTTTATGCTTATTTTGAGCCTAAATAGAAATGAAATCTTAAGGTGTTCCTAAAATATCCTGGTTTGTATCGGGTTAAATCAGGTCTGTAAGTTGGTTAGAATGTCTGAAGCTAGCTGTAGACATCTGGATGTAGTTGAGATTTACAAGAATAAATAACAACTTGAGTCATCGTTGTTGTTGGTCCGACCACAACAGTCACCTACCTACAGTCTGAGTGAGAGGCAGAATGAATGTTTGGGATTGTGTTTGTTTTTCTTCAACTGTTGTTGCTAAAAGACCAGGAGCAGAAAAGTGGGTGAAAGAAGATTTCTGACCTTTTTGGTTCTCGCTGTAATGCTGGTCTCGGGTATTTTGGGATTATTTACAGACCTGAGTTGTGCGTCTTGCATATTTTCTGAAGTTTGCTTAATCTAAATCATGTTTTACGGTCTAAAATTAGCCCAAGTGGACTCGCTGAGTTTGTGTTGTAGGTCTTTCAGACACACCTCATACCTCGATCCCTGCTGGATTTAAGACTGGAGGGATGGATGTCTCCTTTCCAGGAAGTGAAACCGTTCCTACGCTCCGGCTCTGCTTGGCCACGGAGTGACGTGCGTGCGCTCGGATATCACACCAGCAGATGATTAAAAGATCACTGCTAAGTTTCAGACGTTTAATTCTTCCAATCCCAAAGCTTTGTCCAGGATCTCCGTGTAAGAGCCGGGGAAGCTGCAGATACACAGTAGTGACCTGAACTGGAACTAATGGGAGTGTGCACAGACCAGAGCCGGGCAGACGGACTGACCTAGTAACCGTCTCGCCCCCCTCCTTTCACCACTTTGCTGAATGCAAACAAAAAAACTTCTCTAAACGTTTGTCCTTCAGCGGCAGCAGCTCCTTAAGTCTCATCTGTCAGGGGCATTTCCCCCGTCTGTCAACTGAAGAAAGAACGGGGAGGCGGCCGCCCAGATTTATTCAAACGTTCCGGAGCCTGACCGGCCGGCAGCCAACTGTAGCCGGGGCTCAGAGGGGGCTCTGTGTGACGGCCAGACAGATGGCTGCAGAATGAAGACTGTAATGATACCCTGAGCAGCCCCAGACGCATGCACTCATCACATACGTGTGTGTGTGTGTGTGTGTGTGTATTGACCATGCTTTTCATCATCTGACTGATGAATCAATGTCATTAACCCACCCTTCCAGCTCGGCCTCTTTATAGTCGTCTTCCTCCCTTTCCTGCTCGCCCTCCCTCATTTTCCTTCATGTCGTGTAAGATAGCATCCTTTCTGCTGCACATCAGCTGATTAATCGATACCCCGATTGATTTTAGCCTTTCTTACTTTTATTTTGTGACCTTCGCAGCTTTTATCCAAGTCTTTCTTTCCTCGATGCACAGGGAAGGAAGGCTCAGAGCCATGCCGCTGTAAATTGTGACCTGTGGTGAACGGGGGAGGCAGAAGAAGAGGCGGCCAGGTGAAGAGTGATCTGCCACAGCTCCCGGTAGTTGGCCCCCCCCTCGCCGGCGCAAAGCGATGGGAAACACGGCCACAAAGTTCCGCAAGGCGCTGGTGAGCGGCGACGAGGCTCTGGCATGGCAGCTGTACGAGGGGAACCCTCAGTTCAGGGACGGCCTGGACCCGAACGCCTCATACGGAGAGCAGTACCAGCACAACACACCGCTGCACTATGTGTGCCGCCACGCCATGACACGCCTGCTCAGGTAAAACGTGTTTTCTGAGCTCGGTTATGTCATTTGTAAACGATTCCTTCATTTGGGGCAAACGTGCTGGCTTTGTTCACCGCTGTCTTACTTCTGGGTCTTCGGCATCACTGTTTTACCTCAAGTCTACGTTCTTCCACCCAGGGATGCGTTGGCAAGATTCCAGACGAAACCACATGTTACGATCCTAACGGCCAGATGATATTTGCAATTTTTAAGAATAAATTTAATTTGAAAAATCTTCCAAAACGTACCTGGTGTCATCGCGATGTCTGTAAAACTGCTGCCACCTAGTGGCCGGAGTGTGAATTGCACCACACAAGTTCCTTATCTAAGAGTTTTAACTCATTCGCTGCCAGGGTTTCTCACCGTTTTTACTGTTTTTTAAGAGTCACAGAATGTTGCGCGCTAGCATGATGTTGATGCCAAAACAAAGAGGAGACTCACCTCTTACATCAGGAAGAAGCCGCGTGTTTCGAGCGTTATCCGTTCTTTCATAATCGGTTGTCGAATTGTGATCTGCAGACGCTTTTCCGGTTCGTGCCTCACCTTTTTTTTTACAGGAACGGCCCAAAACGATCTCCAAACACATGGATGTGTTGCTTCCTGATCATGTGATCTGTGACGTATGCGGATGAAGATCGGCTTCAGGGCTGAGATGTTTGTTCTCTCAGCGCGGGGGCTCGTTCCGATGCTCAAACAGTAAAAAAATGCAAATGACGACTTTAGTCGTCATTGGCAGTGAACAAGTAAAATAATTCAAAGTGCAGTTGACGGTTCTAAGTGATGATCTGATCTAAAGCTTCTCAAAAGGCCTCAGTTTAGAGAAATGGAGCCTAAGCTAGCTGACGGCTAGTTCTGGTGCAGCCATGTCCACACAGTCTTCCTCCAATCCCACAACCCTTAACTCCACCTTCATTATACCGTTGCTGTTTTATTTCTTGTTTATTTTTGCATAAATCTCATTGGCAGCAACATCACTATGGGTGAAAACAGTAGGGCTACTCTGCAGGATGTGAAGAAGACATGAAAACAAATGGATCCGGGTCATTTATCGTTTATGAGCGGGGCTGCGAACAGCAGCCTCTCTTTAACCTGCTCTCACAAACCCAGTCACCTGCTCGGTTTGTGGCGAATGAGCGGTCTCGTTAAGCGGTGGCTAACGCGGCTGGTCAAAACGGTTGTGCATTATTCTCCTGAGGACTTGGTCGGCGTTGCCCCCGATGACATCACCTGCTTTGTTTCGGCTCACGCTTTAGTTTAGCAGAGTTGTTGTCGCACACTCGTGGCGCGGCGAGGGATTCGAGCGTAAACAGGAACCTGGAAGCGCCGCTCTCTGAGAACATCGCCGATATGGATCTGCCGCTCTTCCTGCTTAACGGAAGAGCCGCTCCGAGTCCCCGCAGCACGTCTGCAAATGTATTTTTAGATTTAAATCCACAGCTTCATGCTGCTGGGATTCTGGGTGCTTTTATGTTTCTGCCTCAACACCGGGCTGCTGGTGACCTTTGAACCATAAAGGAGAGCAACTATTTCCATCTTAACCCAGAATAAACGGGTCGTGGTGTGTGACTCCTGCTGAGAGTGTTAAGATGCTAGCATGACTGATTCTGTGACTCAGAACCCCTCATCTCCTCCTCCTCCTCCCATGATTCCAAGGAAAGAGGGGTGGGGGGGGGCTGTGGCTCCTCAAACTGCTTAATGTGTCTGAAATTATTGCTCAACAAATCAATCGCTGTGCTGTTTGTGTTCCTTCCTGCTGACCTATAATGGGCCGGAGAGGCCTGCTGGAAGCGGCGCTCCGATAAGCATCACAGGAAGTGCTCCGAGTCCTTTTGTTCCCAGACCGAATAAACGCCGGCTAGCGGGCGTGCAATCGGTTTCCTAGATTATTTATAATCCACTCCTACTCCTTCCCGTCGTCTCCGTGGGCCGGTCTGGTGTTTTAATCCCACCACACGGCAAGAAGCGGGAGCAGCAAACGCACCTATTACTGGAAAACTGGGAGCAGTTGAGGAAGCTTCCTCCATAACGAGTTCTCACGAGCGTAAATAACCGCTCTGACTCAGCGGGAGCCGATCTCGGTTGTTTTAGGGAGAAACTCGTGAAGGACGTCTAAAAGGTGACCTCCCCGTCGGGCCGATACCGGCTCCATTCAGCTCAAACGCTGGGCTCGGTGCTCCTGGAGGAGTGGGGTGTTGGGAGTAATCACTGATAGGGATGCACCGATACGATACTCGTATCGGTATCGGCACCGATACTGATACCAATACCAGTATCGGTAAAAGTTAACTGATACCAGGAACCAATACCAATGCATTTGCTTGAAAATGACTTCACAGTAACTTGTCATTTGTGTTCACCTAATATTTTAGTTTTGTGATGATTTCAAAACATATATTTTACTTTTTATCTACCTCACTGTCTTTTCCTGTTGAAAGCAGAGAAGAAAATAAATCTGTATTCCAAATCATTGCATTTTTTTTTGTGTGGTAGAAGTATCGGTATTGGTAATCGGTATCGGCGAGTACTCAGATCCAGGTATCGGTTTGGAAAAAAAGTGGTATCGTTGCATCGCTAGTTACTGATTATTACTGCTGTGATTAGAGCAAGGCTGCAGGGCTCGTGGGTGACGGGATGAGAGGGCGGAAGGGAGAAACGCAAGGCATAACCGGAATAACCAGGCAGGAAGCAGGAGAGGAGTCGGCTTTTTCTGAAGGCGTTTTTATTTATTTATTTATTTATTTATTTTTTAGTAAATGAAGTTATTCCAGCAAACGAAGGTTTTGTTTTTGTTTGGTAAACGGAGCTGCAGCGTGTTTGTGTGTGCACGTGTCATCCAGCGTGATGTTCAACAGAGCGAGTCAATGATTACATCTCCTCCTTCCTCCTCCGCTTCATCCGCTTCTCTAAAAGATTCCTCCCTCTTCCCGGTCGCTCAGTCTGCTTTTCCATGACCTCTGCTCTTCCTGAACAGGTCGTTCTTGTTCAGCAAAGAGGGGAACCCCAACAAGCGGAACGTGCACAACGAGACGTGCCTCCACGTGCTGTGTCAAGGCCCGCAGATCCTGCTGCTGCCAGAGGGGGCGCTGTCGCCTCGGCTGGCCCGGCCGCAGAGGGACGAGCAGCGTCGCGCCGACTGCCTGCAGGTAGAAACGCGCGGCGGAACCCGGTCGGCGCGTTCAGACTTAATGATTCTGCGTTGTTCTCCAGATGATCCTGAGCTGGACCGGAGCCAGGCTGGAAGGAGGCCAGTACGAGAAGGCCAACGTCAACGCCACCGATAACCACCGCAGCACCTGCCTGCACTACGCCGCTGCGGCGGGCATGAAGAGCTGTGTAGAGGTGAGACCAGCTGCAGAAGGAGACCGGGATGGGACCTTCTCACTCCTCCATCTTTACGTCTCCCGCAGCTGCTGATCCAGAGCGATGCAGATCTGTTCGTGGAGGACGAGGACAAGCTGACGCCGTGCGACCACGCCGAGCGGCACCACCACACCGAGCTGGCCCTCAGTCTGGAGTCGCAGATGGTTTTCTCGTCCGCCTCGGCTCAGCAGTCCAGCGGAGACGCTCACGGGGAAACCAGCCTGCTGCACTACAAGGAGGTGCGTCCACAGCTCTCCTGCTGCTCCTCTCTGTTTTTACACCTTTTTTACGTTTTCTTTGGCCTTTTAAAATCAGACAGGTGGCACTTTTCACAGTTTTACTAGCTTCACCACCAATAAAACGATCACGTGTGTCACACACATGCAGAATCCTCGGCTCACCTTTCATGCTGTACAGGCTCGGGTTCACAGATGAAGTTTCACTAATGACACACACCACACCTGCTTTTTGTTTTGCACAAGAAAAAAAAGTGGCGAGTGTGCGACGATACCGTTGGCTCTCGGAAAACTGCAGGACTTTCTTCCTACTAACCCTGAGTGTGACTCTGAGATCCTTTGGAAGTATTTTCCATCCTCAAAGGTCACAGCTCATGCAAACGCCTCACTTCCTGTGTCTTCTTGCATCACCGTCGCCGTTGGATACCAGCAGCTGCTCTTTCTTCCTGCAGCCAAATCCATGCTAATACGTAATCTGTCCCTCCCTTCACCCCCACTGTCCCTGTCCCGCGTCCTTTTTGCATCCCTAAAGATAGATTTTCCCTTTTCTGTCTCTCTCTGTCCCTTTAACTTCTGTCCCCTGTGTCCTTTCAGCCTTACGAGGGACTGAAGCTGCAGGATCTCCGCAGGCTGAAGGACATGTTGATCGTAGAGACGGCAGACATGCTGCAAGCCCCCCTTTTCACCGCCGAGGCTCTTCTCCGAGCACACGGTACGTGTGTGTGTGTGTGTGTGTGTTTATGGGGGGGTGTCGTAAAGGAAACACGACGACTGAAGCTTCTTCTGCGTGTCTTCCTGTCAGATTGGGACAGAGAAAAGCTTCTGGAAGCCTGGATGTCCGATGCCGAGGGCTGCTGCCAGCGCTCCGGCGTCACCATGCCAGCCCCGCCGCCCAGCGGCTACAACGCCTGGGACACCCTGCCATCACCCCGCACCCCCAGGACCCCGCGGTCCCCCCTTACACTCACCCTCACCTCCCCCACCGACAGCTGCCTCACACAGGGAGAGGAGGGCCTGGCCACGGTCAGTAGTAAAGAACACGTAATAAATGTGTAATAATTAGCCATTGCTATCGCGCTAGCAGCAGCAGCAGCAGGTTAATTTCTAATCCTCCCAGAGCAGAACCAGGTCAGAGGTCATCAGTTCTGTGTCCTTGTGCATAACCACTAGCCTCCAGCCCAACGCCAGGCCTGTAAAGTTCCCATTGTGATCCAACTTCCTGAGAATCTCCGCCTGAGTTTCCTAAATATTCAGACCCCAGATGTCGTGTTAACGTCAGACTTTTTGTTGCCCTTCCTCCTGCAGTGTGGCATCTGCCTCTGCTCCATCTCCGTCTTCGAGGATCCAATCGACATGTCCTGTGGCCACGAGTTCTGCAGAATCTGCTGGGAGGGGTAGGGTCGCGTGTGTGTGTGTGTGTGTGTGTGTGTGTGTGTGTGTGTGTGTGTGTGTGTGTGTGTGTGTGTGTGTGTGTGTGTGTGTGTGTGTAGGAGGAGATCTGTTTTACTCGTCTTCTCACTGGTGTGTTTTTCTCAGCTTCCTGAACATAAAGATCCAGGAGGGCGACGCCCACAACATCTTCTGCCCGGCGTACGAGTGCTACCAGCTGGTACCGGTTCATGTGATCGAGAGTCTGGTCTCCAGGGAGATGGACCAAAGATATCTGCAGTTTGACATTAAGGTAGAGGCGGAGCTGTCCGATCGGGTGTGCCGAACGCTCCAATATAAACTTTTCTATCTGTTTTCTACGGAAGGCCTTTGTGGAGAACAATCCCTCCATCCGCTGGTGTCCCGTGGCTCGCTGTGAGCGGGCGGTGAGGCTCACCCGACCCGGACCCGGTGACAACGACCCCCACAGCTTCCCGCTGCTGCCCTCTCCAGCTGTGGACTGTGGCAAAGGTCACCTGTTCTGCTGGTAAACGCTGCCGTCCGCTCCTTCTCACAGCCTCGTCTTATCTGTGTTGACGTTTTTACGGACACGAAAACCAAAACACCAGTTGGTAGACGTCTCCCGCCCGAGCGTGGGACGGTTTAACGGTTCTCCCGAGGATCTGAGCCAGCTCCTGTGTTTATCGCCCCGTATGTCCGCAGGGAATGTCTCGGCGAGGCCCACGAGCCGTGTGACTGTCAGATGTGGAGAAACTGGCTCCAGAAAGTCACAGAGATGAAGCCGGAGGAGTGTAAGCACGTCTTTGTTTTCTTAACGTTCCCAGGAATTTTCAGAGTTACCAGGGATTTGTTTACTGCAGCTGTCGTACCGGGAAGCCCTCGCTACATCTGCTCTTTTACAGCCTGACGGGTGTTAAGGTCGCTGACATTAGCTGATTGTGTGTGTGTGTGTGTGTGTGCGTGTGTGTGTGTGTGTGTGTGTGTGTGTGTGTGTGTGTGTGTGTGTGTGTGTGTGTGTGCGTGTGTGTGTGTGTGTGTGTGTGTGTCACGTATTCAATTCAATTCAAGTTTATTTAAATAGCGCCAAATCACGACAAGAGTCGTCTCAAGGCACTTCACATAATAAACATTCCAATTCAGGTCAGTTCATTAAGCCAATCAGAAATAATGTGTCCTTTATAAGGAACCCAGCAAATTTCATCAAGTCACTGACTTTACAGCAATCCTCATACTGAGCAAGCATAAAGCGACAGTGGAGAGGAAAACTCCCTTTTAACAGGAAGAAACCTCCAGAGAATCCTGGCTCAGTATAAGCAGCCATCCTCCACGCCTCACTGGGGATCGAGAAGATAGAGCAGACACACACACACACACACACACACACACACACACACACACACACACACACACACACACACACACACACACACACACACACACACACACACACACACACACACACACACACACACACACACACACACACACACACACACACACACAGACACACACACAGACACACACACACACACACACACACACACACACACACACACACACACACACACACACAGACACACACACAGACACACACACACGCACACACACACACACGCACAGTAGCACATCCAATGTCAAGGAAAGTAAAAAGTTATTTTCAGGAGAGGGAGAATGTATAAGTGGTTAGCAGCAGTGTGCTAGTCGATGGCCCCCTCCATGAGGCCACCACAGCTCAGCAGAACATCGTTGTAGCTTCTTCTGGGGAGAAAAACACTTAGAGAGAAAATAAAGTTAACAGCTGAAATAGCAGGAAATAATACAGTTAAAGAGCAGATTGTAGAAGAAAGTAGTCGAGTGTGAAAAGTGGTCAGTGTATCCTCCAGCAGTCTAAGCCTATAGCAGCATAACTACAGAGATAACTCTGGATAACCTAGACTTTTTAGATGGAGGCATGTTGGAGGCAGGGCAAGGGAGAGTCGTCTTTACCGACTGTACACTCCACCTCCCTCTACTCCCCCACTTGTCCAGATCTAGGCTAACATCAGATTTTAACCATAGGTCCTATCAAATAAAAATGTTTTAAGCCTATTCTTAAAAGTAGACAAGGTGTCTGCCTCACGGACTAAAGCTGGGAGCTGGTTTAATGTGTGTTTTCTTCAGTGGCAGGAGTGAGCGAGGCCTACGAGGACGCTGCTAACTGCCTGTGGCTGCTGACCAACTCCAAACCGTGCGCCAACTGCAAGTCACCCATCCAGAAGAACGAAGGCTGCAACCACATGCAGTGTGCCAAGGTGCCTCTGATCAGTCACAGTTAAAGATTCACCGTCATACGGACGAGCTAACCCCTGCTGCGTCTCTCTCTCTCTCTCTCTGCAGTGTAAATACGACTTCTGTTGGATCTGTCTGGAGGAGTGGAAGAAGCACAGCTCGTCTACTGGAGGCTACTATCGCTGCACTCGCTATGAGGTCATTCAGCAGCTTGAAGAGCAGTCTAAAGAGATGACTGTGGAGGTATAAACACACACGTGTGTCTCTCACGCACACCGAGACACACGCCTGGAACCTGAGTCTCTTTTATTTCCGTTTTACAGGCAGAAAAGAAGCACAAAAGTTTCCAGGAGCTGGACCGTTTCATGCACTACTACACCCGCTTCAGGAACCACGAGCATAGCTACAGGGTAGGAGCCCAGATCCACGGAGGAGGTGGAGAAGCTTTTATTAGACCTGTGTGTGTTGATGTGTGTGTGTGTGTGTGTGTGTGTGTGTGTGTGTGTGTTTTAGTTGGAGCACAAGCTGCTCAAAACCGCTAAAGAGAAGATGGAGCAGCTGAGCAGAGCCTTCATCAGCCGTAAGTCTGGACCTCTTTTTTTCTTCTCGGAGTCGTGATTAAAGTTTGTACTGGGGGGGGGGGCAGAACAGTAGGGGGTACGATTCAGACCTCAACACCCACCACATTAGTTCTAGACCCTGTTTCTTGCTGAACTTAAAGCACCAATCTGGAGTTTTCAGGAATTATGATTGAGCTTTTTGTAAGTGATGGTTCCACCTTTACTGTGATCCTAACCCCGGTCAGATCAGAGCGTTCGTCCAGGCGGTTACAGAGTTGGCGTTTTTATCAACAACTCAATCTTTAAACTATATTTAAACAGCATAACATGAGAATAGTAGCGGTGAAACTACGTATTAGCGCCGTTGGCCGGCTGGAGGTGAGAGGGGTGGGGCCCTCTGACTTTGTAGCAGAAAGTGTGTTTATGATTGTGCGTTAGCTTTAGCCTAGCATCTCTGCGTTTCCGCCCCAAGGAGCAGCAACTTCTAGGTTCAGACCTGGTGGTCTCCTACCGAGACCCAAAGCTCACACGAGCATTTGTCTGAGTCCGTTTACAAAAGCTGAAGGGTTGCAGGCGGATGTTGAGAGTTTTAATGAAGCTGGTCCAGTTCTTCATGAGATCTTTAGCTAAAAGCAGATAAAAGTGTTTTCTGCTGCAGGTGAGGGCTCCCCTCCGGACACACGGTTCATCGAGGACGGCGTGACGGAGCTGCTGAAGACGCGGCGCATTCTCAAGTGCTCATATCCGTACGGCTTCTTCCTGCAGCAGGGCAGCACGCAGAAGGAGATCTTCGAGCTGATGCAGGTAATCTGCTACGAACCGCTTCAGCCTCCGTCAGTAGGGCTGAGCATCGATTGGAATGTCTGTCAGTTTTTCCTGGAATCGTTCAGTAGGTGATTCCCAGGCTGCCGACCAGAAGAAGAATCTGCAGCCGATCTCCGTTGAGAAAAAAAAAAACGTGATCTGCAAATTCTGATCATCGCCTTTCTGAGCTGATCCCAGCAGCTGGTGTGTCGCTGCAGCTGCAGAGACCCTGAGAGCAGCATCGCTTCTCCTCCCCCGACCCTCACAAACGCGTCGGCCGAGCTTTTACCCCGTGATGTAAACTCTGGATTTAATTCGAGTTTTAACGAGCGAACTCCGGGCGGTGTGAGGTGGGATTTTGAGGCTCGCTGCAGAAATAAAAACGCGGCGCGTCAACAATCAAACGCAGCCGCTCGCCAACACTCGTCTGTGTGAGCGTAACGCCAGCAGGCTGAGCGATAAGTCACGGTGCAAGAGCGGCCTCTCTCTGAGGTGGACCACGCCGGGTTCTGCCACGGGGAGCGTAAATGAATCTCGCAACACGCAAAGTGGTGAAATTTAGATTTCTTTTTTAAAGAGCAAGTCACCCCCTACCAGAGTCTTACTCCACCCCCACTTCCTGTTTAAGCAATGCAACAAATGCTGTTGCCTAGCAAACCGAGAGGGCGGAGCGGCTAACAAATACACACACACACACACACACACACACAGAGGCTCACAACGACATTGTGACATCATATGGTACCAGCTAACATTCTAGGGTACCTCTTAGCCAATAGCGATGGCAGATTTAAATTCAAATGCAGTGCAGAGTTTTTACCCGACGACGGCACAACACTGACAGTTTTAGGCAGAAAATTAAAAATTTAAAATGCACTAAAGTGCAAAACTATTGACTACACGTGTCTGCAGCACGATTAGACACACGTTTATATAGTTTATCAGAAATAAAAAGTTGCTTTGGGGGTGACTTTCTCTTTAATTATTTAGTCTGTTGGATTGTTTCTGACAGCAGCTACGTTTAAGTTTTGGTTTCCTTCTGACCGACTCGCTGCTGCAGCACGTAGGTTCTCGGTCCTCCTGGACGTGGACCTGAGAGTGTTCTGGTTATGTCGGAGACATTTAGCCTCTCGTCCCACGTCCCTCCTTCAGTTCCCGTACTTTGGTCGGAAACAAAAACGCTGATTGTGCTGCAAGTTTTTTTTTTCTTTGTTTTTGAGTTAAAATTCATGTTGAAGTTCAGTTTACTTAATCAAGTAAGCCCTGTGGTTAGCTGGCTCATTTAAAACGTGCATCGCTTTTGGATCCTGCCACTTGAAAGAATCAGAATCGGGAATCAGTCGGAACAGGAATCAGAATTGTTCAAGTTCAAACGATGCCCAACCCATCAGGAGGGTTAAACGGCTCAAAACAAAGATGGAGGTACGGTAGGAGCATTTTATTAGTTCCTCTATCATCATGGAGGCATTTTCATTTGACACGTTTCAACACAAAACTTTATTAAAACTGAGCCTGAAACAAAATTCCTTACAAAGGAACGCTTTCACTAATTCCTCCTCTAGAATTGAGCAGGAGTCTCAGATTTGTCCCTTCTGTGTTCCCAGACCGACCTGGAGATGGTGGTGGAGGATCTGGCCCAGAAGGTCAACAGGCCGTATTTGAGGACGCCGCGTCACAAGATAATGAGCGCAGCGCGGCTGGTGCAGCAGAAGAGGCAGGAGTTCCTGGCCTCGGTCTCCCGCGGCGTTGCTCCCAACGACTCTCCTGAGCCTCAGCGCAGGACGTAAACACAACCCTCACTAACAGATCCGCTGGTAGAGTTCAGCTACGAACGTGTTACTGTTCTGTGTTTCAGTTACGCCGGAGGGTCGTGGGACTGGGAGTACCTCGGCTTTGCATCTCCTGAGGTAAAAAAAATCAGTAAATGACGCGAGGCGGTGACACTTAACGTGTCTCCGCTGCTTCCTAAACCGCCTGCTGTCGTTAACGCATGGCCGCTGCAGCTGCTGACGTAGTTTACTTGTGTGTTAAGATGGGAAGCCGTCATTCCGTGCTGGGAGCCGGCGACCACCGAGACGGAGCGTCGCAGGTAAAGCACCGGCGAGCAAACGCATGGCCTCGTTCCCGTCCCCCGCTGAAGACTAAAAGCTGCTCCGTAAGAACAACTGCAGGTTTTGTTTGAGGTGGTTGTGTAACCCGACGCCTCTCTGCAGGATTACGCCGACATCCAGTACCGCCGCAGACACAGACCGCGGCGCAGAGGAGACATGCCGTGTCTGCGGCTCCGAAGCAGCAGCAACACGCCGGAGACGAGCAGGAGGAGCGAGAACTCAGGTTCAGGAGAAGCACACGCTCCGTTTTTAGCTTTATTCATGCAGAAGAAAAGAGTTTTTGGGTCAAACCAGCTCCAGACGGCCAGGAGGTGGAATTTTACCGTACTGCTTCATCATTCTGAGGTGTGTGTGTGTGTGTGTGTGTGTGTGTGTGTGTGTGTGTGTGTGTGTGTGTGTGTGTGTGTGTGTGTGTGTGTGTGTGTGTGTGTGTGTGTGTGTGTGTGTGTGTGTGTGTGTGTGTGTGTGTGTGTGTGTGTGTGTGTGTGTGTGTGTGTGTGTGTGTGTGTGTGTGTGTGTGTGTGTGTGTGTGTTTTGCAGAGGGCACGGAGAGGACTGAGGGTCGCAGGAGAGCGCTGGGCTTCCTGGATGAAGACGATCCCAACATTCTCCTTGCCATCCAGCTGTCGCTCCAGGATTCCCGCCGGGCTCAGGCCCTGGAGGGGGGGCCGGAGATGGACAGAGGTCAGGAGAGGAGGCCGGGTCCAGCGGGGGATTTGGTCGACATCGCTTTGCACTCTCTGAACACCGAGGATCCTCCTGGAGCCAGAGGCTCGACCTTCCCCGCATCCCTCCTGGATCCTCCCCGTCCTCCCAACAGGACGGATTCCACCTCGCAGCCATTCGTCTCCAGCCCCATCCCCATCCCACCCCCGCCTCCCTCCCTCAGCGTGGAGCTGCTGGAGCTGGGAGACAGCCTTATGAAACTGGGGAACATGACCACTTCTCAGCACACGTACAGCCACGGCACGCTGACCGCCCCCTACAGCGACTGCAGCCATAGACTGGAGCAGAACGCGTGGACTTCTCCGCACGTCCTCCCGCACGTCACCGATCCGTGTCACGACAGCAAAGAGCAGAGCTACTGCCACTCCTCTGCGTTTTCAGCCGAGGCTGAGCACACTGCCTCTTCTGCACTCGAACGAACCCAAAACGTGGCGCACCCCAGTTCCCATGACTGGGAACCCACAGCTGGGTATGACGGCCCCCCCAAACCAGACTGCTCCTACCACCCCTGCCCAGAGCGCAGCAGCTCCTACACCGCAGAGCGCCCCACCACCTACGCCCTGCAGAACACCCCCAGGTCCGAAGCCAAGCCCCCGGTCCAGTTGTGCCTCCCGTCTCCAGAGCTGGAGCCGGAGCTGCTGCTGTCCCCCGTTATCCCACCGGGGGGCCCTTTCACCCCCAGCGACCCTCAGAGTCTGGAGACTCTGGACGCCACGGCGAGCGCTCAGCTGCTGGACAACATCATGGCCTGGTTCAACAACAACATCAACCCCCAGAACCTGGCCCTCATCCCCTCCCCACCCACCACAGAGACAGACTCCTCCCCCGACACGCACACAGAGACTGAAGCTGGGGGGAACGTGAGCCCTGCGCCAGTCTGGCAGCCCCTGGAGGGCGAGCCAGAAGCGGACCGGGCGGCGGCGCCGACTCCCCCACTGGGCGCGTCAAGCATGGAGGACCCAGAGAGGTCCAGGCCCGGCGCGTCGGAGGCGGAGCACAGAGACGCTGCAGCGGAGGGTGTGGATGCCGGGTGTGTGGCTGGCCTGTCGCTGGACGAAGCGTGCTCACACCCATGTCCCACAGACAGAGACATGGACACCGTCCTTCATTTAGAGGAGGACAGGTCACCTGAGGAGTGGGAGGGGCAGGAACACCTAGTGTGACATCGACGAAATCAAGAACAGGAAATAGAAAAATAAAAAAACATCAAATAGGAGTTTACTGATCCTAGATCTGCTGACTCTGTCCACTAATCACGATGTCTCGTTATGTTCGAGTGCTTTCCGAATCCGACACGGTTCCTTCTGGAACATCATGGCTCCTTCTCTTTTATTTATTCTCACTTTTCTGTCCATCTCCGTTTTTGGTGCTGAAATCCAAGCCTGCCTGGGTTTAAACGACACCGACCCAAACCCGAGCCAAACTCTGGAACCTCAGAGCCCATTTAGCGCCGTACAATCATTGGCCCACCCCTGACTAGTTTATTCTTAACTCGTGCACACCGTGCCTGTTCCGTTGGTGCCAACACACTACTGATCACTAAAACCTCCAGACGTTTACAGCCAGCTGCAGGTGGGAGGGCCCTCCATCAGAGTCGGTGCTCGTGAGACAAGCTTTTCTAAAAATGTTCCCTGACTACCAGAGGCCACCATCAATCGTTCAAATAGGTTTTTTAAGCAAAAAAACCTCCAAAATCCAAGATTTTCCCCCTAAAAAAAGTCGCAATTTAAGTCGTCAACTAAGTTTAAAAAGTTTATGTTTATTTATTTGGCAGACGCTTTTATCCAAAGCGACGTACGATTTACTTAACTTGTAGGGCGTGTTGTGATCTGTGGGGGAAACCCACGCGTGCGCGGGGAGAACACGCAACTCCACGCAGAAAGGCCGCAGCCGAGTTTCGAACCTGCAACCTTCTTGCTGCGAGACAACAGTGCTAACGGCTGCGCCACCGTGCAGCCCACATGTCGACGAAATTCATTTTATCATCTCTGAGCTGTTTACCTTCATTTTCAGTCACTTTAGGTTTATACGCTTTTAGCATATCGGCGTTCACACTACAGCATCGTTTGACTCGTATTTATTAGCTGCTTTAGAAAAAATAATTTATCATCACTTCCTTATTATAGTGAGGATCTTCTTTTGGTGTGTGTGCCTTCTTTAGTTTCTATTTGTTAACATTGTTTTTTAAACGCGCTAAATCAAAGTTTAAAAGCCTAAAACATTTCATGGCGCAGCGGCTCGACGTTCAACCCCTTTATCTGAACGTTCACGTCCAGCTGACCTTTGATTTTATTTTGTTGGACGTGTGACTTCCTGTTTGAGCCCCGCTGTCACGTTTACAGGAGAATAAAACACGACTGCTGATCTGAAGATTGATTGCTCAGTTGTTACGGTTAAGGTGGAGAAAACCCCCAAAAGGACATTATCTGTTTCCACATGAAAGATTTCCAGGAACACGTGCTCACCTGCTGTAATATTTCATGAGTTCTGTTTTAAACCACTGCATAATTAGATCTTCTTTTCTAGAGTTCAACAGCAGATGCACTGAGTCGAGACTTTTTCTGCTCCAGAATATTAATAACGTGTTGCGTCAATCATGTGCAGGCAACACGCAGAGAGGATGATGGTTTTATTTATTTTTATTATTATTAGAAGTGGAATAATGCTGACTTTAATGGCCTTGTGCCGTTTTTCTTTTTGTGCTTCACACTTTATGATTTATTGGTCTCAGCCTACATCTTTGGAATAAAAAAAAGCACTCTCATTGATTATACTTGATACATTCCCAGCAGGTCTCAAGAAGACAGATTTGATGTGTGGCCAAATCTCTTAAGTATCGGTGCAGAGTTTACTCTTAATAAAATGAACTGAAAGTGCTGCTTTGTGGTTTTATTCAACTGCGACAAGTTCTCTGAAGTTGTATCTATCCTGATCAGTTGAATGAATTAGGTCTTGATCAGTTAGGGTTAATTGTTGTGGATATTTTACTTTTTTTCATCTTCCAGATTTTAATAAATCAGTAAAAATGTAAATTTTACTACGACTTTAACACATGTTGCACATAATTAAACTTAACTAAACACCGTTTTGACCTTTTGGTTGCAAATTCTGCAGATCACGAATCCAGCAGTAGGTGGCGGTAGTGATCTTCCTAAATATTGATCATTTAGGGATCTTTGTTTTGGATATTTGACCTTTTAACTGCCAGATTCCAATAAATTAGTAGTAAAATAAAGATTGTGGATTTTAACGCTACTGTAAAACATGTTGCACAGAAAAATAAAACAAAAGTGTTAGAACGGATCACAATTCCACCAGTAGATGGCGGTAATTACACCCCCTCGTCTTTGTTGTCGCCTTTTAGTGACGTCACATCCCTGAACGTTTCGAATACAACAGCGGCCTGTGTTTTCACTCGATCGCTGTAATTTTTGTCTTCGGTGGAGGATTTTTCTCTACTGTTTTCCATCATCATGAAACTAGTCAGGTAGGCGGCAGCGGGAGGTCCTGGATTAACCGGAGAATTAACGTAAACTGATAAAATGAAAGCGATGTGGCCGGATGGATTGGGATTTGATTAAACGGTGATGAGGCGGGAAGTGGAAAAATTTAATGGATCCTGAGCGACGTTACGGCGACCGCTGAGGGTTTAAAACACGTTCCTACGCACACTTTTAATTATCAACATAGATGAACGTCTACTTTAAGTACATTTCTATTTCAATAAGTAAAAATATTAGGCTAGACGTTAACTCATTCAACCGTTGTAGCATTAGCTTGTCAATCAACTAAAGCGGCTCAAAATGGGGTTTTAACATAATTTGTTAGAGTTCATTTTGTAAATATTTAGTTTAGCTGTTAAACTGGTGGATTATCAGTGTTTTTATTGTTTCAAACGCTTTAAAAGTCACCTAATAGCCATCGGTGGCTAACTAGATAGCTAAAGCTAAGCTACTATCTAGCCTCTGCGAGAAATGTCCCAATTATGTTGTGATGTTTTCACTCAGTCATCGTGTGCAATGATGCCCACAGGTTTTTGATGAAGCTCAGCCATGAAACTGTAACCATTGAGCTGAAAAATGGCACCCAGGTTCACGGCACCATCACAGGTGAGCTCATAAAGGTGGTCAAATAAGCCAGGAATCAGCTGAAGCTCTTTAATTTCAATACTAATGACATATATTTGTATGCATTAAGTAGATTAATACCCACAGCTGTGCTTTCATCCTCATAGTCAGACTTTAGTACAGATAAATCTGCACAATGTATGTTTTTGTATTATTTAATCCTATTTGATGGGATTTTTTTTATGTTTAACAAACCCTAGACAAGTACACACAACCTGCAAATTAAAATCTTTTCTAATCTGTAAAATTAATCCTAAACTCAAGTGCCAGATGTACTTATGGCTGGTGTTTCATCCCTCCTCTCTGTTTTTCAGGTGTTGATGTGAGCATGAACACTCACCTGAAGGCGGTAAAAATGACCCTAAAAAACAGGGAGCCCACTCAGCTGGAGTCGCTGAGTATCCGCGGCAACAATATTCGCTACTTCATCCTCCCAGACAGCCTCCCTCTGGACACCTTGCTGGTTGACATCGAGCCAAAGATCAAGTCCAAGAAGAGAGAAGCAGGTGAGAAAGGTGAAAATACATAAGATATGTTGAGTTGAATTTTATCTTAAGGTGTTTTTTTTAGAAAGTGAATCTGAATTCTCCTTTGCGTGAACAAAAAGGTTTTCACAGTGATGTAACGTGTGTTTGCACAGGTTTCTGCATGGGTTTATATTAAAAGAACTAAATTGTAACATTAACTGTACGACATAATTTAAGGAGTGGTTTAAAGGACCAGACGCTAAATGAGCAATATGGTGTTTGTGACACTTGTGCTGATGCTGCTCATCTGTCTCCTCAGTGGCTGGACGGGGACGAGGCAGGGGACGGGGACGTGGGAGAGGAAGGGGACGGGGACGAGGTGGACCAAGGAGATGATCGCAAGGCTGTTCTGTTGATTCCTAACACTTCACTGTTTGTACAGGATTTTTTTTTCCTTTGCTTCATTAAAGCAGAAACGTTTTGTGAATTTCTGTGTGCTTTTTAGTTGGACTTTTTTTTTTGTACATTAAACTTCTGGTTAAGAGGACAAACTACTCTGACTTCTTTGTGTTGGTTTTTAATACTGAATAAAGTGTCAGCACATAAACTAGCATCATTAACTACTGTGTTGTCCCAATCAGATCCCAATGCTACAGTTGTATTAAGGCTGAGGTCACATTGGTGTACTAGCCAGCCCCACGCTTCCTTGTGTATAAAGTAACACAGAAGATGAGTCTGGCAGGCCAGGCTCTAAAATAAAAATGTATTTTATGAAATTATTAATTAGCCATCAGACCTTTATCCCACTACAGTTGACAAAATAAAGCAAAACTGTTTATTTAGTCAACTTTTAGGTGCAGTTTCTCACATCAGTTGTGATAATTGGTAAAACTGCACATGTAGGTGGGGGAACGTTGTTTTACATTACACCGGGGACCAAAGTCACCGCTAGATGGCGGTGTAGGGAAAGCGACCTGGTTGATGGTAGCCTATAGGATGGCTTGCCGGGCTAACGTAGAGGTTCGTGGAATGACGTAAATTATTGCCCAAAGCTAGTTATTTTATATTAAACGATCATCTTTAACATATTCGTCACATGTCGAAGGCACCAGGTTCTTTTCGAGCAGGAGTGTTTTTATCACAATGTCTGTGGCTAGCGTCGGCCGCTTCCTGTACTTCGCGTATGGAAGCAACTTATTAAAGGAAAGGCTGCAGCTGAAAAACCCTTCGGCTACGTTCGTCTCTACTGGTCGCCTGAAGGTTTGTACATTAAATATGTCGCCAGTTTCTCACCTAAAGTTAGTGCTCAGTGGCTAGCCTGCTAGAGCCTAGCCTGTTTAATTCTACACAGGGAACCATTACAATCCCATAAGGATCACGGGGCTGGCTGGTCAGGCTAATAACAGCGGGTATTGCGTCTTTTATATAAATATGTAAATGATAAAATAACCCTACTCGTGACGAAAATTATAATTGTCTTTGCCGACTTTCACTTCATTAATGAAAATCAGTGTATTTACTTTCATGACCAGTTCAGTTCACTTCCGGGAGGCACGAGACAGTGGCCGTGTCCGAGATTAGCTAGTTCTGCGCAGATTATGAGATCACCGGTGATCAGCGCTCAGTGCTTGCCGGTGTTGGCCATAAATTGACTCGCTGCCAAAAAATGATTAGCCACTAAAGAAAGGAAGGGGAAAAAAATCAAATCGCTGGAGAATTGTTTATTTACATTTATACAACGTTTACATTCAATACAGGGCGCCATTTTACATTGTTTATTTATTTTTTAGTATCAAGGCTGTAACATAAAGAAAGCCAGTTCTTACCACAAACTATCTTTCAATCGCAAATATTGCAAAAAGGATTAATATATCCTCATTGTGAACGTTTAAGACAAATAGCAACACTTAAAACAACTTCCGAACTGGAAAAAACTAAGCTAATCATTTTTTGGCAGTGAGTCGATTTATGGCACAACACCGGTTTTTTTCGCAGGGCTTGCCGGTTTTTTTTTTTACGCTTGGTCACGTGATTGACTTTTTTTTAACAAACCTTTATTAACAAAAATAGAATATACAATGTGACAATGAGGTTACAAGCTCACAGTTGACAACGAATAAGAAAAGTGACAAGTGAACAAAAGAGAAAACAAAGTGCCAGGGGGATATAAAAAAGGTGGGTGTACAGAAAAATACCGATTACAGTAGCATATATCTATAGAGAACATCAACACAGAAATAGTAATAAATCAGGATCAGATTATCTTAAAGCGGGTACATATTTCAGTAGTCTTTACAGCCTTCTGGTTTTGTGAAAACCGGATAGAGTCCATATAATGCTTGACATCCACTAAGAAACAGTTAAAGTTGGGTTTGCTTTTAAGAAATTTATATTTATGGCTATGAAATTTGGCCAAAAGAAATAACAGATTAATAAGAAATTTAATAGAGTTATTAAAAATATTCTGGTGAAGGCCAAACAAAACGTGCTTCCAATAAATGTTAAACTTGACAGAGAATTTACAGCAGATGAAGTCACAGAAAAACTGCCAAAACCGTTTGGAATGAGTACACAGTCAAAAAAGATGAGTTGTTGTTTCTGGAAGATCTTCACAAAATGTACAAGATACATCCAGGTCTGATTTAAATTTTTTTAAATAACATTTAGAGGGGTAGAATCTATGTAATAGTTTAAAGGAAGTTTCTTTAGCCTCGTTAGCGATTAAAAATTGATTGGGTAGAAGCCAAACCTTCCTCCATGTCAAGTCATCCACAAATCTATTCCAGTATGATACGGCACATGGAAGAGATGTCATGTCTTTAAGAGAGTTCTAATTGATTTATTTTTATTATTAGGAGAGCCATTAAAACATACTTCACCGATTGGGAACAGAACTGGAGAAAAAACAGGAGAGAACTGACTGTAAGTGCAGTGCTTGCCGGTTAGCTTTGTGTCCGACTTGCTCTGACGTCATGCATACGTAGGCAACGATAACCTCGTGAGATCAAGGCGGCCGCAGATTTTGGATCAAGGGGCTGCAGTTGCTCTCCACCGGCTGCAAAACCTAGGGGATGGTCATTTTTATTTTCCTCAAGTGATGTCATTTGTATTTGCTTTATTCTTCAGTACGTTGAATGTAGGTTACATTGTAAACTGAATGTATGTGTAAACGAAGATTGAAATAAAGTTAAAATAAAATAAAATAAAACCTAGGGGATGACGGGAAACGCCTGGCTCTCACCTGATCTAGGATCTGACTGTTTCACATTTTCATCCAAACATCCGGTGGTAGAACATGAAATGTTAGTTGGTCACGTGTATTCTGTAAATCATGTTATGTTGTTGATGACAACAATATAGGCCATCAAGAGAAATGTGTTTTGTGTTCTTTTGTCACGTACGTTTCCTATGAGCACACTAAACCATGTCATGCCATGTCATACACAGGGTATCCGCGGGTCCTTAAAAAGTCTTAAAAAGTCTTAAATTTGCTTTTCTAAATTTAAGGCCTTAAAAATCCTTAAAAATTACAAATAATCCTCAAATACAGTTTCCAAAGGTCTTAAATTACCAAAGACCCAATGAACAAGAATTTCTAGTTAGTCTTCAGCATTTTTTGTGTATGACGTTGCCGTAAGCGGAACCGTACACATTCAGCTGGGGCTATTTTTAGATGAGCACATTAGCTGGTTAAGCTAGTGGGAGCTTGCGCCATGGGGAAGTGCAAGTTTAATGGTAACTGGGTGGGTAATCCCACGTTCGTGACATGGTTAGCAACGGTTCCAGGCAATAGTTGGAAATTATAGCTTAAATTTAATTTAAAAAATAGCTTAAATTTGGTCAGAGTAGCCTTAAAAAGGGTCTTAAAAAGTCTTAAATGTGGCTCCCTTAAACCTGCAGATACCATGTATACAATATACGATATCCACAAGCATGTGAGGATGTGTTTCAGCTGCTAACAGGCACCAGAATTAAAATTGAAAATTAAACAAGAACGTTAACGTGCGATATCTTCATCCATCGTCACCCGCGAGCTACACATGTAGGGAAATCTGTCCGACTTAAACGCCGGCTTTCAGCCACTCCCCCTGCTGCTTCCGTCTGCTCTCTTCTGTTTTCCAGGCGAGGCGCTGCTCAACTCGAACACGGCCAGTGACCGTGTTTGCAGGCTGAGTCTCGTAGAACAGAAGATGCAGATTTTGTGGAAACAGCCGGGATTTGAACCTTCCATCATGCAGGAACGGTTTACTTCACCTGGCAGGAAGGAAATTCTGTTGAAGTCACAAACAGCCCCTCATTCATAATCTTCTATTCTGTCTTCAGGATTATAAACTGAGATTTGGCTTTTGGGGTGAAAATGTTCAAAGTTGTTGGCACGGTGGTTCGGCCACAGTTGAGTTTAGCCCAGGTGCAGATGTGTGGGGGGTGGTCTGGTCTCTGAGCGATGAAGATCTCATAAACTTGGACAAGTAAGCCACACAAGCACCCATCTGTTAACAAGTCCGTCAGTAAAAAGGCCAAACATTCACCACGTGGATCCTCTTTTAGCCAGGAAGGTGTGGATGCTGGACACTACGATCCTCTGGGGGTCTCAGTGGAGACGGATGAAGGCACGGTGCTCTGCAGGACGTATCAGATGAATAATTTTCATGCTGCACTTCCATCTCCTCAGTACAAACAGGTGTGAGCTTGTAAACCTAATCAGCACCTAAAACAACTTTTGTAACCTGAATAATGTGGTTTTTTGTTTGTTTTTTTTTTTACAAAAGGTGGTGTGTTTGGGTGCAGAGCAGAACAAGCTCCCAGATGAATACGTGACCAGGCTGAAGGACATTCAGACCAACAACTACAGCGGCCCATCGATCCGTGATCAAATCGTGCTGCCGAGCAGCGAAAACTGAATGTTCTTCACATCAGAAATGGACAGAAAACATAAAGAGCTGCACATTTATTTAAAAGAAAACAACAACCATATTTTCACCTAATCCTAAAAGAGGAGTTAGAAACACTGTGGAGAGTTTAGCTTCCCTTAAGATTTTTCTGTCTAAATACCGTAAATCCTCTAATACAGGCCTGGGCCTGTATTTGACTCAAGCTCATCAAGCTCCAGGCCTTTATTGGAGGAGGGCCAGAATTAGAGGCAGGCCTCAAATTCTATTTGAGCAAAATGAACTAATGGTTCGCTGGAGTTTTTGACAATTAAAATTGCGCCCACATTTTCAAAGTTAAACAACGGTAGTTTCTGCTTCAGCCCTCTCCCCCGCAAACTCACTGATGCGCCTGCAGCCTCTCAGAGTTGCTGCTGCTCTAAACATTAAAATAACTATTTCATTTTCTGTTCCTCACTTCTGATGACCTTCAGTGGTGTCCGTTTGTTGCAACCACCAGGTACAAAAACTAACTTGTTTTTATTCTACTATTTTTCTGTCCTGCCTGTTTATTATCTTCCTGCATCTCCTCTCAATCCTAAAGAAAAACTGCTACCTGGGTTCATATATATTCACCTTATGAGTTACCTTTGAACTGCAGTTCTAAAAGATCTACCGACAGCAAAAACAGTGGACTGCTCGCCGGCCACATCAGTGAGGTGTGTCACCGAGGAAAACACAGGTGATGCGCCCTGATCCACAGCAGCGAAACGCATCAGGCACAAATAAAAGAATAAAAGACAGAAAACATAAAAGGAAATGAGCCGACATGAACGATCGCGTGTTAAATTAGTTTTTGAGGTGGTGACACCTGATTTGATAATGTTACTGTGGCCGTGCTTAGGACGCAGATGTCTGGAGCGTGTCAACAATCAGAGCTTTGCATGCGCAAGCTGGTTAAGGTTAGGATGGGGTGAGGGGAAGGTTAAATTGCAAGAGGGTAAAGGTCACAATTTAGTTAAATGTCCGTTTTACGGCGGGTGTCAGTACCGACGCTCTGGCACAGCGCGTTGCCTCCCGACGTGCAGGAGCTTGTCACCTGCCGACAGCAGGCTGCTGTCTTTTCCGAGGACTGCATCTTGCCGGTCATTATCCCGTGACAGCGACTAGTCGATGACAGGCATAAAAAGTCACTATAGAGCGGTGAAGTCATCTAGTGACTAGTTCATACAACCCCTGCTACTGCTCCCCAGAGTGTTCTGCAGCATAATCAGCACGTTCTCTTTGAACTTGATATCAAATTTTCGCCTCCTCTTCGTCTCCGCACGGTTAAAGTTACCCTCGCGGTCTATCACTGGCAAATCAAAAGTGAGACGGATGACACAACCGCCCCCCGTACTTGCTTGTTACCACATTCCACCCGGCCACAATAAAAAACCGGCCATTATTCACCGACTGTGACACCGGCCAAAATATGATACCCGGCAGTTAATTAAATACAGGCTAATATTAGAGGATTTACGGTAGTTCAAAGTGAAACATTTAGCAAGAGAATAGAAGCAAACTAATCAATTTGTGAAACGTGCATCTTTATTTTTGTAGAAGACAAAGCTAAGAGGGGAGTTTCTGGCATCTGTTGCCATGGTTACAAACCCAGCTTTGTGAAACCGAAAATCTCAACTGAACCTGAAGGTACCCTGTTAGGCCTGGTACAAAGTTCACACCAGTACTCATGTTTCAGCTGAATTTTACTTAATTTTTTTGCAGTGATGAAATCGTAATTGTTTATTTCCTAGAATATAAAGTTATGACTTTTGTGTGAGTGTGTGAAATCTGATTATTATGCATGCACTTAATGAGATGTTTTGTTGAACAAATATCTTAAATGTTAAATGTTGTGGCAGGTAAAACATTTTATTGCACTAATCCTAAATCTCCTGTCACCCACCAAAATCACTAAGTTAAGAAAATAAATGAATGACACATTTTGTAAAACAAACTCACTTTTATTATATGTAGAATAATATGTGTATTTTTTTATGTATAATCCAACAGGACTTCAAAAAGAAAACGTGATCAAACTGGAATTGTTCAATGCAATGTCAATGCAAATACAACCAACTTCTTAAGGTGCTCAGTCCTTTACCCAACAGCAGTTTAGAAAACAAAACAAAAAGTTAATAGTTTATTATAGCGATTTTGCTAAGTTTTTTTAAACAATTTTAAAGGATAAAACAGCGAAGATGAAGCCGATTTCGATGGGGGAACACTGTTCGACACAACACCAGGGGCCAATGTGGCCGCTAGGCGTCGCTGTTAGAGGCGACTTGATAAAAATCATCTTCTGGCACGTCTCGTCACGTCATTCAGAACTAGTTTTGCATACATTTTGTAATATTTTAAATATACGTTACATTTCTACATCATTAAGAAAATGTAATTAGATATAATGTGTGTGAAAACAAACACTTAACAGCTTCGTCACAACTTTATTCCAGTTTTGTTTTTAAGAAACAAAATAATCTTTTGATCACAATGTTGGTGACTACCGTCGGCTGCTTCTTATACTTCGCGTTTGGAAGCAACTTATTAAAGGAAAGGTTACACTTAGCAAACCCTACGGCTACATTCGTCTCTACAGGTCGCCTGAAGGTTTGTGAAAACAGGTTTCTCATCTAAAGCTAACGGTAGCTAGCAACACATATGTGAAATCTGTTAGCTCGTGAACGGAGCTAGCAAGTGTGGGTTGTTAGCTTAGCTAGCTATGACAACATACCATGAATAATGTGCTTCATATGTAACACAATTAAATAACGCTACTATTTTTTACTTTTTTGTCACTTAATGAAACCGAGATGAGACTTTCATGATGACGACAGATATGTTTAGCACACTTCCGGGTGGCACGAGACAAGCTGCTGCAGGGCTGAAGCAAAAGTTGCTTCAAACAAATTTGTGTACGTTTTTTTCTTCTTCATTGACTGTTGTATTATAGACAGAAAAATAGGTTTCTGCTAAATATCTTTATATTTTAGATGAAAGTAACTAGTAGACATGTTTGTCCGTGTTGTCTGGGGTTCTGGAGGCCACCACTCTTCCACTTTCTTACCCAGGCGGGGGACACCCTGGAGAGGTCTCCTGTCCATCACAGGGACACACAACCACGCACACACACTTACCAGGGGACACTTTAGAAAATCACTAAGCCATCATGGATGTTTTGGTCTGAGGGAGGAAACCATAGTACCCAAGGAAACGCATGCATGAGAACATGCAGGTGTGCAAACATCTGGGATTCAAACCTGCCATCACGCAGCCAAAGTTGACCAGTTGACCTCATCATTCAAGCACTTTTGTAGAACGAAACCAAAGAAGTCAATTTGCCTTCATTGGAACCTATTTGGATGACCATGACCTGGATGACCGAGCACAGTAAAGCCTGATTTCTGCTCACTTGTGTCTCATGCGTTACTGTCAACTCTTTTCCGTGTCTTCAGGATTATAAGCTGAACTTTGGTCTTTGGGGTGAAAATGTTACAACTCGATGGCATGGTGGAGTGGGCACCATTGAGCACAGCCCAGGTGCAGAGGTGTGGGGGGTGATCTGGTCTCTGAACAATGAAGATCTTGCAAACTTAGACAGGTGAGACACACAAACACCCATCTGTTAATAGAGTTATTAGTAAATTAGTGAAGCATTAACCACGTGGATTCTCTTTTAGCCAGGAAGGTGTGAAAGATGGATTCTACACTCCTTTGACTGTGTCGGTGGAGACAGACAAAGGCCCGGTGGTCTGCAGGACGTATCAGATGAATAATTTCTATGCTACTGTTGCATCTCCTCAGTACAAAGAGGTGTGAACTTGTAAACTTAATTCTCCTGAAACTATGTTTGTAACCCAATTAAGGTGATCATTTTTTGTTTTTTTACAAAAGGTGGTGTGTCTGGGTGCAGTGCAGAACAATCTCCCAGACGAATACGTGACCAGGCTGAAGGCCGTTCAGACCAACAACTACACCGGCCCATCGCTCCGTGATCAAATCATGGTGCCGAGCAGCGAAAACTGTACGTCCTTAACATCAGAGATTAACTGACTGTTCCGAAAACACGAAGAGCTGCATGTTAATTAAAAATAAACGTTATTACCTAATCGAAAAGTAGGAGTTAGTAGAAAAACTTTGGAGTGTTTAGCTTCTGCTTTAGGCTCCTAATCGATAAGTATTATTTTAAAGTAGACACTGATTAGCTGAAAGGTAACCATGATTACAAGCCTGGCTCTGTGAAACGGAAGGTACCATTAGGTACTGGTTTGGTCTTACTACCAAACTATGGGGTGACTGTGGCACAGGAGTTAAGTGCTCGCCCCGTAATCGGAAGGTTGCAGGTTCGAGCCCCTGCTCAGTCTGTCGCTGTCGTTGTGTCCTCGGGCAAGACACTTAACCCACCTTGCCTGCTGGTGGTGGTCGGAGGGACCGGTGGCGCCAGTGCTCGGCAGCCTCGCCTCTGTCAGTGCGCCCCAGGGCAGCTGTGGCTACATCGTAGCTCATCACCATCTGTGTGTGAATGGGTGAATGACTTGTGTTGTAAAGCGCCTTGGAGGGTTCCAGGATTCTAGAAGGCTCTATATCAAATACAGGCCATTTTACTACGAAATTTACATTAGTCGCATTTAAGCTTATATATTTTTAAATAGCTATGAAGTCTTATTGTGCATGCAATCAATGATTAAATGTTTGGCTGAACTAAAAGCTGCTTAAATGTTAAAAACTTGTGACGTGAGAATTTATTCAGCTTGTTTATTGCGTTTATGCATTTCCTGTTACCCATTAAAAGCCCTGTTTACTAACGTAAATGGAACTCACTTGTTTTAATTGGACATTGATGTTTTTTTATTTATATATAATCCAACAGTATCATACTTTAAGGAATTAATAGAAAATGGTACAAAAAAGAAAAAGGTGAAGAAAATAATAACAACGCACACAATACCCCAAAAATGTAATGAAACTTGATGGAAATTTTCAAAAGTCAATGCAAATACGTATATAACAATGGCACAAGTAACTGGTTTTTGCCTACACAAACAAAGTGGTTTTTAAAAAAAAAGGTCATGAACTCAACACACACACTGAAGAATTTGGTCTTGAACACAGTTTGAAACAAAATGTGAAGTCTCAAGGGAAACACAGTATGAAGAGATCAAATCCAGATAAATACTGTTCCAACTAAACTGTTCATTGTTCCAGAGCATCAACATCATGGCGAGTGGTATATTCCAGTCGGGAACACTGATATCAAATTAATCACTAAGCTACGTCAACAAACTGCCTTAAACAGAGTAACTTGTGTGTTGTTATGAGGAAACGCACCATTATATGTAAGGATCTGAAAACATTCTATGACTCAACTCAAAAGGCCATCTTAATTAATAGGTTTTCCATTTTATATTCAGACATTTGCTTCCAGGTCCAATTTTCAAACACAGATTAGTTCATTCCATCTGCTCTCCTGTGGAGGCTTTTGTAGCTTCACTTACATCTATCGATTCTGGTTCGGTGGCCCTTGCCTGCATTCCCACGTCGGTGGATGGCGGCAGAGATTCCGCTTCTTCATCATCATCCTGCTGAGTATCCAAGGCGTCGACAGGTGGCTGCTGCTCCGGTATCAGCATGTTGTGCTTTACTTTGCTCATTTCAGTCATGTTAAATCCAAGGAGAATGGCGGCTGAATTACTTCCGAGACTCTTTATGCACTTGCTGCGCCTCTTGCTGAACTGCCCCAACAGCTCTGATTTGTTTAGGGAAAGCCTCCTGCTAAGCTCTTCGGTCTCAGCCTTGCTCGCATATGGATTCAGGTTGAAGTACTTTGTTATAAAATCTCGGCGATTCTCGACACAACGTCGCTCCATCGAGTTCGGTTCTATGAGGAGCTTCACCATTGGGTCGCTCTGAACCTCAGGCTCTGGTTGGAGTAACTTCTTCTCTTGCTCCAGCTTTTCTTGCAACAGCCTTTCCTCCTCTCTCTTCTTGCGCATGGCTGCTTTGTGTTCCCGCTCTCGTTTGTTGGCCTCCATGGCCTCCTTCAACGCAGCTTCCAGTCTTTTCTTAGACTGCTTCTCTGCTTCAGATTCTTCAGGTTCTGGAGGTTTTGTGGGAGCAATCACTCGAGCTGGAGCTAAAGTCCGTGCCATTGTCAGTCCTTGAGGCATCGGGACAAAGTAGAGTCCTGTTGTCTGACTGATCTGCTGGGTTGGTTTTGGTGGCTGCTGTTGGTGCACCACTAATGTGGGTTTAGGCAGATGAGGGGGCTTCGGCGGCTGTGGAGGTTTCGGCGAGCAGCGGCATCTCTGAATGTGGAGCATCACAGCCTGTTGGGTGACCTTTCCCGTGTACACGCCATTGCAATATATGCATTTGAACGCCTCGGTCTTGAGGATGGCATGAATGGTGGGTGCGACAAAGTGTTTCTGCTTCAGGTGCTGGGCATGAACGGACTGATTCTGGAATTTTTCATCGCAGAAGGGGCAGTACATGCTGTTGAACTTAACAGGTGCCTGGCAGATTTCCTGCTGGTTGCTGGGATGGATTTTAAAGAAGATCAAGTCCAAAGTGTTTGTTACCAGAGCAAGATTGACCTCCGTATCTCCTAGAATCTCTTTAGGTGCGGTGGTGTTCACGTCAATGTAAGGAAACAGAATGTCCCCGTTTGGTTTAGAGTACACCCTATACTTTTGCCTTAGGAAATCACAGTATACCTTGCCCGAGGGATTGTGGATCTGCACATGAACTATGAGCTGCTTGATAGAAAAGAACAAAGCTGAGCAGTACAAACAGTTGAGGCCATGAAGCAGGTGCTGGAAGAGTGTCTTTTCTGATAGTAGAATTTTGCATGTTAGGCATTTGACTGTTTTGTCAGGCATTTTCTTGAGGGATGCTGCTCTGGCCGCCAAGCTTTGAGACCTCGAGGTAGAGGACTTTGTTTGATGTGCTGCCTCTGTGTGCAATTCAAAGACATTTGAAGGGAAAAGCTCATTGCAGAAGGGACACGTGACCCATTTCTTGGTTTGTGGTGCCGAGTTACTAGTTTGCTCGACAGGTTGAAGGGGAGTGGTTGTTCTCTGGGAGACGGGCATTGTGGCTTGCAGAGGAGCAAAGGTGTATGTGGGCATGCCGTTCACTCTATTACCAGTCGGAATCAGGTGACTTAGTAGGGATTGTGACGTCAGCATGGTACCCTGTAGTGGGGTGTGTTTGGTTTGCTTAGCCACAGTCCCAGTCCCAGTCCCGGTCCCAGTCCCAGACACACTGGGCTGCATTCCGGGAGGAAGAACAACCTGCTGTGCTTGTGGAGGTTGTTGCTGTAGGGGCTGAGTTGTAGCAACAGGTTGGGTTATTGGTGCCGGTTTAAGAGACATATTAGTCATAGTGGGAACCTGAACAATGGCTGATGATCCTTGCGGTGGAGCACTTTGGAGGGATATTGTGGCACCGGGTTGGAGCAAACCTTTAGCTTCAGCGCTAGCCAGCTGCACTAGCGCTGAGGCTTGGGGGGGCAGGAAAGCTTGGTTGGTTCCTGGTGTGCAAATCAGTGTTGCACTGTTTGTAGCTCCTTGTACTTGCTGCAAAGCCAGTACAGTCCCAGGAGACTGGCCATTACTCTGTAAAACCAACGAGTTATTTGTAAATGTCTGAGAATTCTGTGGTTTCGGGGCGATACTTGGGAATGTGACATATAATCCATTCCCATTAGGAGTGGGTTTTGTGGTGTACTTCTTGTTTTCAACAATAAAGCTTTGCACTTGTATGGCGATAGTGTGATGCACAGGTTCCACCAGCAGGTGATGCAACATTTGGTCTAGAGTTCCAGTGTTCACCGAGCACACCTTGCAGCAATAGATCTTTACGGAGGCATTCAGCTGTTGCTGTAATCTGTAGCCAACATACTGGTCTGCCAAACTGGGCAGGTGCTTGAGAATGATGTGTTTCTTCATTGCGAAGATGGAGGAGTTTGGGAATCCACATTTTCGACACTGGTATCTTTCATTTCCCATGTGCGTGATTAAAGAACTTTTCTGAGGCTGTGTGACCGGTACTGGGACTTTTGAGTGAAAGAATTGCATGTGCCTCTTGACATTCCTGGGATGGCTTATAAAGATACAATGAGAGCAGGGCGTCAGTGTACAAAAGGACTCGACGCATCCATGGCAGCGGCTTACATGTGTCCTGAAGTTGTAGAGGTTTTGAGAAGAGTACTTGCACTGGTTGCAGCATAAAGATCGAGACCGATAAGGCCACTATGTGGGGGGGACAAAAAAATTAAAAGTCAGGTGAATATTTACAAACTTCAGTTAAACATGATTACATTTATTTATAAAGGTCTTGTTCACTGAGAAACTGTGTAATACTTTTTCTTTTTGACATATGTAAGGTTACTTTTAGTTTAGTAGCTTGCTGTACGTAAACAAACTTTTTCAAACCCCATTACCTGCATTAGCCGCTGGAAGAAAATGGACAGTAAACCGATGAGGTCAGAAAAAACAGTTTATTTTATGTCAAATGGAAAATTAGCATTCATGGCCTCGCCCACCTTTGCTCGCAACTATGGAAGGTTGTATCGCAGCCAGAAGAGAGCAGAGCGTCTTGAATAGTTTAACGTAACCATTTCCAGTTGTTAACTGTAACTTCAAGCGTTCACCACCTGTTCCGCTTTTTTAAAGAGAATTTAAGTTTACCATTCTAAAACTTTCACTGGTAAACAAACAGGAAGTGGTTCTTCTATTTCACCTTCCTCCTTGTAGTCAGTAACATTTACATAAATATTTATATTCAAAACATTTTGTATCACCATTACTGTGTTGTTAACAAAGGCAGAGGAGACTTGCATTGCTGTTAGCCAATTACAGACAATATATTTGCATATCCATCCATTCTCTTCCACTTATCCGGAGTTGGGTCGCAGGTGCAACAGCCTAAGTTGAGAATCCCAGACTTCCCTCTCCCCATCCACTTGGACCAGCTCTTTTGTGGGAACCCCAAGAGGTTTCCTGGCCAGACAAGAGACATAGTCCCTCCAACATGTCCTGGGTCTCCCTTTAGGTCTCCTCCAGGTTGGACGTGCCCGGAAAACCTCACCATTCTAATCAGATGCCCGAGCCACCTCAACTGTGCCACCTCTCAATGTGGAGGAGCAGTGGATCTACTGCAAGCCTCTCCCGAATGACCAAGCTCCTCACCCTATCTCTAAGGGAGAGCCCAGACACCCTGCAGAGAAAACTCATTTTGGCTGCTTGTATCCGCAGTCTCGTTCTTTCAGTCACTACCCAAAGCTCATGAGCATAGGTGAGGGTTGGAACGTAGATCGACTGGTAAACAGAGCTTCGCCTTCTGACTCAGCTTTCTTTTCACAACGACAGATCAGTACAATGCCCGCGTCAATGCAGATGCGGCACCAATCTGTCTATTGATCTCTTGCTCCAGCTTTCCCTCACTCGTGAACGAGACCCAGAGATATTTAAACTCCTCCACTTGGTGCGGAACCTTATCCCTGACTCGGAGAAGGCATTCTACCCAATTCCAACTTAAGACCAAGGTCGTGGATTTTATCCCAGCTGCTTCACACTTGGCTGCGAACCACTCTAGCAAAAACCAGAGATTACGTTATGATGAAGCCAACAGGACCACATTATCTGCAAAAGCAGAGACCTGATCCTCAGGCTACCAAACCAGATTCCTTCAACACCTTGGCTGCACCTAGAAATATTGTCCATAAAAGTTATGGACAGAATCAGCGACAAAGTGCAGCCTTGGCGGAGTCCAACTCTCACTGGGAACGAGCCCAACTTACTGCCAGCAATGTGGGCCAAGTTCTGACACCGGTCATACAGGGACCTAACAGTCCATATCAGAGGGCCTGGTATCCCACACTCGCAGAGTACCCCCACAGGGCCCCCTGAGGGATGCAGTCAAATGCATCCTCCAGGACCCCTCTAAGGGTACTGAGCTGGTCCAGTGTTCCATGGCCAGAACAAAAACCACATTGCTCCTTCTGAACTCAAGGTTCAACAATCCAACTGACCCTCCTTTCCAGGACCATTGAATAGACCTTACCAGGGAGTCTCAGAAGTTTGATCCCCCTATAGTTGGAACACAACCTACGGTCCCCCTTTTTAAATATGGGGACCACCCCCCCAGTCTGCCAGTCCAGTGGAACTGCCCTTAGTGTCCAAATGATATTGCAGAGCCACGTCAGCCAACACAGCCCTACGACATCCAGGAACTCAGGGTGAATCTCATCCACCCCGGAGCCTTGCCACCGAGGAGCTTTTTGACAACCTCAGTGACCTCAGCCTTGGAGACCAGAGAGTCTAATGCAAAGTCCCCAGGCTCCACTTCCTCACTGGAAGATTAAGGACATTGGTGGGATTAAGGAGGTCTTTAAAGTATTCTACCAACCGATCCACAACATCCCAAGCAGAGGTCCGCAGCACACCATCCCCAGTATAAACAGCTGGTAGCGCATTGCTTTCCCCTCCTGAGGTACCGGATGGTGTGGCTGGCTCTTGACACGTGGAATGTCACCTCTCTGGGGGGGAAGGAGCCTGAGTTGGCATGCGAGGTTGAGAGGTTCAGAATAGATATAGTTGGACTCACCTCAACGCATTGCTCTGGCTCCGGCTTTGGAACTAATTTCCTTGAGAGGGGTTGGACACTCTACCACTCTGGAGTTGCTTTCAATGAGAGGCACAGAGCAGGGCTGGGCATACTAATTGCCCCCCATCTTAATGCCTGTACTCTGGAGTTTACCCTGGTGAACAAGAGGGTAGCCCCCTCCACCTATGTGTGGGGGGATGGGTCATGACTATGGTTTGTGCTTGTGTATCAAACTACAGTTCAGACTACCCACCCTTTTTGGAGCCCTTTGAGGACGTGCTGGAGAGCGCTCCTACTGATGACTCCCTTGTTCTGCTGGGGAACTTTAACGCTCACATGGGCAATGACAGTGTGACCTGGAGAGGTGCGGTTGGGAAGAACGGCCCACCAGATCTGAATTTGAGCAGTGTTTTATTATTGGAGTTCTGGGCAAGTCATGGATTGTCCAAAATGAACACCATGTTTAGATATAAAGGTGTCCATATGCGCTCTTGGCACCAGGATACCTTAGGGCGCAGCTCGATGATAGACTTTGTCGTTGTTTTGTCTGATTGCGGCCGCTTGTCTATGACACTTGGGTGAAGTCAGGGGCAGAGCTGTCAACTGACCACTACCTGGTGGTGAGCAGTGTTGGGAACGTTACTTTAAAAAAGTAATTAGTTATAGTTACTGATTACTTTGTCAAAAAAGTAACTTGGTTACTTACCGAGTTACGAGATTATAAAAGTAACTAATTACCAAGAAAAATAAATAGTTACTTTTTTCATTAAAGAATGCTAGAAAAATGGTTTCCCCTCTTAATTGAACTTACTTAATTTACTATAAATTACTATAATAGTAAAATATAAATGACTAATGACTGGACTATAATAAAATGTATGTCCAAATGTTTTTTTATAAACCTGCATAATTTAAAAAAATACGCACTTAACAGGAGGAACTACTAACAGGAACATTACACTTATCTAGACTATTAAAAGGTCACTTTGTGATATTTAACAAGACCCCAATCAGCTAAAATTTATAACTGCAATTAGAAACACCTGTAAAGGTTACTGAGCCTTTAAATGGTCTCTCAGTCTAGTTAAATTACAGAAATAAATGTAATTTTGCACAATATTCTAATTTTTCCAGCTTCACATAATTGTCTGTTTTTAGTAGCATTTCTGTTGCTGGTTGCTGGTTAAATAAATAAATAAATAAAATCCTTTAAAATGACACTAGAAGAGGCACACATCTGATGGAGGACTTAAATGTACTAACGGGTCAGACCCAACCACAGAAGAGCTGAAGCTGGGTGGTAAACACACACAGGTAGTTCTGATGACACCTGAGCTCCATGACGTTTGAGACTGATGCATCAGCGTTACAGCGGGACTAAAGTCATGATCAGAAACAGGTTACAGCTGGATGACCTAGGAAGGTAGAAGATCGTGGCGTCTGAGCGGTGAACAGGTGAGCTTCGGGACGTCCCGCTGTCACGCCAAGAAGAGCACGGCTGCAGATCCACACCTGCAGCCGTAGACTATTAATCACGTCTTCCTCGTTCTTCACGGGCCGTGATGCACTTGGACGAAAACATCTACCTCTTTAGCTCCTGATCAGCTGATGACAGCTTCATCACACCGCGCTGCTTAACGCACGCATTTTCTTATCAGTAACAGAAACGACGTTTTGATTAAAAAAGACGGTAATTAATTAGTTTGCCCGTTAATGAAAGAAATGTTTTTTAGTAACGCGGTTATTTTAAACGGCGTTATTCCCATCACTGCTCTGTTGGGTCTACACCATGCAGTGACTGAGACATGGAGAACAGTGAGGGTCTCCGCCCACCCGGCCAATCATCATCGTGTTTGTAAGTGTGTTACCGACACCTCTCTCTCTCCCTGGCTGCAGCTGAAGTGTGGCGGTCAGAAAGCCTCAGACTGTTGCTCAACGTTCGACAAGCACATAGTAACGCACCACCTTCCATCCCCAGTAACGGTAACGGCATTGCAACAGTGGGAAAAGTAATTAATTAGATTATTATATTTTAAAAAAGAACGCCGTTATACTTGAACGTCTTTACTCCCAACACTGGTGGTGAGTTGGCTTCTATAGTGGAGCAGGAAGTCAGTCAGACCTGGCAGGCCAGGTCAGAAGGAGCTTCAATTCCCACCTCCGACAGAACTTCCTAAATGTTTCGGGGGAGGCAGGGGAAATCGAGTCCGAATGGGCCCTGTTCCATGCCTCCATTGTTGAGGTGGCCGACCAGAGCTGTGGCCGCAGGGTCATTGGTGCCTGTCATAGCAGCAACCCCCGAACCTGCTGGTGGACACCTCTAGATGAAATTTAAATAATTTTACATTAATTATAAATATATAATTAAAAAGTGCCTGTGGGACATGTGATACACCTCTAGCTCTCGACTGTGTGTGTGTGTGTGTGTGTGTGTGTGTGTGTGTGTGTGTGTGTGTGTGTGTGTGTGTTAGTAGACAGCTGTACCAGTGTTTCTAAAGCTCAGACTGGTAGAGAATAGGCACTAAGTTTAAAGTTTGACAACTATCAATACATTTTTATGCATTTAATCTACTGATTTATGTATAATTACAAGACACCTTGAAGTGAGTTAACTTGTAAATATTTTACAGGAGGAAAAATGTTGAGATGTACATCGTATATCAGAATTCAGCAAAAAGATAGAGATATAAATTTTGGTCCATATCGCCCAGCCCTAATTGATCCCAATTCTATGAAACTATTCACGAAATGATTAGCTACTAAATGTCCTCATGAGAAAAGGACAAAACATTTACCTTCTTTCGATGCCGTCTGCTGTACCCCTCTGTGATATCAATCCAGTCAGTTTGCTGAAAGGCTTCGTCTTCGTCTGCGTTTTTCTCCGAGCTTTCATTGAGATCCTGTAGAGCACAAAAACAAACCTTTAATCAAACAAAAGCCTATTTCACTTTCAGAGGGGTTTTCAAATGAACAAGACAATAATTCAATGGTGAAGTGAAACATTTTACATACAAAAGCAAGTTTTTTTTCTTAGCTTATCTTCTATTAGGTTTAAATTTAAACCTCGCCAAAGTCTCTAAAGGGTAGTCCCACTCCACTCGATCAAACACTCTCAGCATCCAAGAGTACAACTTCATCAACCCTTTGGTTGGGCGGAGCAGGTGTGAGCAACACGTTAAACAAAGACTGCCAATCCTCAACAGTGTTGGGAGTAACGCGGTACAAAAGTAATTAATTACTGTAATGCGTTGCTTTTTGCTGTAATGTGGTAATGTAAGGCATTACAGGGAAAGAAAATGGTGATATTTACTTGGTACGATTGTCAGTAACGCGGTAATTACAACGCATTTTTAAACCCAGAATCAAGATGTGGGTTCCCTAAAAATTCAAATTGCGGGAAACCTGAAAAAAGATCCAGTATCTACATATATGACGTCATTTATGGACTCAGCTTTGCGGGCATTCTGTGAGCAGAGAGGACGCAGCGGTAACGGCTCAAATACTCCAGCTGTGTCCTGCGCGCGGCCGCTGTTATATTCACAAAATCGCTCCACCAAAACTTAGTCATTCGTTTGCGATCAGCCCATATTCTCTGGTACTTCATGTACTTTTCAGCTGAGTTCATAATCTGTGCCCCGGTGATTTCAACTCATTGCTGCAGGAGTGCAGCGCATGTTAAAGTCCCTTTGGCTGATTAGTTAGAAAGTAGAAAGTCTAGGAAACTGTTTTTCTGGAAGACTGAGAAAAGATGCAGCATGCAGGAAGGTTAAAGAGAGAAAGGGCCGGAAATTATTCAAATAAAATCAAGAAAACAAAACAAAATGCTTGAAAAGAAAAAAGTAGCCGTATCAAGGCATTTGGGGACCAAGGCAAATATAGGCTTGGAGCCCCCCCCCACCTCACTCCCTGCTCAGATGGCCCTATAAGATGGCAGCGTGCTGAGAGTACAGATTGTTGTTGCTTTTATTTAATAAACAATCATTTTAAAGCACTGTTAGTATATCTGACTGTTTTTAACAACAATCCTAGCTCAGACACCACATCACCTTCCACATATATGTCATGAGCTCACTGAGCGTCACATTACCAGATTCATATTGAAGTTGTATTGGTGAAAGTAACTTAAAGTAATGCAAAAGTAGTGTAATTACATTTTAAAATCAGTAATATTGTAATGTAATGAATTACTTTAAAATGAGGGTAACAAGTAATAAATAATGCATTACAGTTTTGAAGTAACTTGCCCAACACTGATCCTTAATAAAAGTTGGCGAGGGGGAATGGCTACATTCCTTATCCATAGTTACCATCTGATCCATCAGTAATTTAAGCTGACTGTCCCTCTTCCACCTCTTATCTTCACTGTAAGATCATTTGACCCCTCGGATAAAACTTTAAGGACTCCCAGACAGGGTCCGAAATTAAATTTTTTACTCACCGGCCAAGGTGGCCGGTAGATGATGAAAATCTACCGGCCAAGCATATTTTTTACCGGCCAAAATTGTAAATGATTTAGATCCACCTAAAGCATGTTATTCTATATTATGTTGATTCCAAACAGAGTGACAAAATAATTAAAACATCAATTAATAAGAAAAACAACTCTTTTGTCATTTTTACTATTTATTTATTTATTTATTTTTAGAGATGTTTTTATGAACTCTTTCATTGAAATCTAGTCAGACTCCTTGTTTTCTCTGTCCATGAAGTCTGGCCTCCCGCTTCTGACACCGTCTTTGTGCCAAAGCATTACAGCCTCAATTGGGTCATAGTCCTTGGTCTCTGGAGAACACAGCTGCACCGTGAGAATATCTGAAAGTGTGTCAGGGCTAGGGTTGTCACGGTAACCGGTGTAGCAGTAAACCCCGGTAAAAAAGTTGACAATAATAATAACCGTCTTGTTTTTAAAAAATATATATTATCTCGGTGGGTTACCGTGGCTGCGGTGTAGGCGCGGTGACCCTTACCAGCCACCGTATCATCTGCTGAAGTTGCCGGCGGCACATGCGCACTTTGTTGTTTACAACCAAAACTTTCTTTAAGCTAAAGCTGAAATAACGGCCAGAGGAGACGGCAGCACTCAGGACATTTATTATCCCTCAAAGAAGGAAGTATGGGCATCTTTTGGATATTTGAAGAATGCCGAGGGACAGTTGATAGAAGACGGCTATCCTGTTTGCAGCACAAGCAGAAAAAGTGTCTGTGAAAGGCAGCAACGCTACGTGGCCATCATAATGTAGCCATTGTCTCACGACTCCGCCATCTCCAGTTCGCCACTTTTCACAAAATCTTCTGGTTGCCACTGGTCCTGGTGGTTTTTCTTCCAGTTCGACGAGTTTTCTTTTGGAAGGCTGGCTGACTCCAGTTAAAAACCGCCACATTTCACCGCTAGTTTTAACACGAAGCTAACCGCTAACTTGATAAACTGATTGAATGGGATAGGTGGAAATGACGTTGGATGCGGCGCTCACGTTTCGCATACGTTTGTGTACGTTGCGTGCAGGCGGGAGGAGTATCAGAAAGCCATGGAAGATGACTGATAAACATAACTAATTTGGTGCAAACATTTACTCGCTATGTGGCAGATAGAGCTCAAAAATTTACTCGCCAAATGGAGAAATTTGCTCGCATTTGGCGAGTGGCGAGTGTTAATTTCGGACCCTGCTCCCAGACGATAGAAAATGGCATTCCTGGGGCTTAGTTGACCTTGATGAAAAGTTTATTTTCAGTATTCATAAACCCGACAAAACTTTCTCCAAGAGGATGTGCAGTGCTTTTGTGGCAAACTGCATCCCCAATTAAAAGAAATGTATAGAAAGCATCAGTCCTCAACAAGGTCCTTTAGCAGCAGAAAAGCGGAATTCCAGGTTATTTTGCAGTACTAACTCCTAAGTTATTGTACAATGGCAAAATCAAATTCAAGCACTTATCAAGGTGAATTATGACAATGAATAAGACATTTACTCAAAATGGTGATTTTACTTCTTTGTTCCATGAAAGTCAGCGTTACTCTGCTGTAACCTATTCTAGTTTCGTGGACGTTCTCTTTAAATTCAAACACAATTTAAGGATTTCCGACATCTGACTGTAACTCGTACACAGTCCGATGTGATGCCATGTCGGATGTGAGAAAGTGTGGAGAATAAACAGGTTAAACAAGAGGTTCTGGGTGTATTTTACTGAGTTAATTTCTACAGCAACCGCCACAATTGAACTTCCTTCAACCTTTCACGATATGAGTCTAAAACTTCCACACAAACCTCAAAATATCAGAAGCTTATTAAAAATTATTTCTGTGAACAATATTTATATACTTTCAAATGTATTTTCGATGTCTTGAGGTGTGTATGTACTACAGTTTTAACTGGATCTTTTTCATTTATATTTAGATTTTATTTTGGGAAAGATTATTGTCTTAAAAAAGCTATTTTATAATTATCCCCTTAAAATAATATTTTGGCTTTTCCCAAAATAGCATTTTTTCTCAAAATTCTTGACTTTATTATGGCAACACAATCTAATGTTATTTAATATTATTTGATTGTTTTTCTCTCATCGTTCTGATTTTTATCTCAACATTTTGTCCTTTTTTTTCCTTCCTGACAAAGGGGCAGCCATTTTCTGATTGTTCTGATGCAACATGGAAGTGAAAATTGTTGCAGTTCCACTCTCATCCACTAGGGGCTGGCACCAGAAAGGAGCAAATTCTCATAGACTCCCATGTTAAAAATGCCTACTTCACAGCAGAAATAAAAATTTTTCCTGAGTGGTTCAAAAAACATTTTAAGTTTAATAGATCCAGTTTACATGCATGACAACTCTGGAGGGGGGTTGTAAATATTTATTGATTTATTGACGCTAATTTTAGCCAAAATTGTATTTTTTAGCTTGTTTTATTGAATATTTTAGTGTTGTTCTTATTGAAGCTGCTTTGAGAGATGTTGCTTTTATGTTGTTTATGGCATCACGTCAGTAGAGGCCTTCGTAACCTCTTCATGTTCTGCATGATGACAATAAAGAATTCATTCATTCAGTCAACTCTTCCGTTTAGGTGTAATTAAATGCTTGAAATGACGAATAATTAGATTCAACTGTTATAGCTTGCGTTAGCGGCTAGCTCCGGGAAAGCTGATCTATCGCAGTCGATGGTCTTTGAGGTCACCGCCAGACTCTCCCCCTTCAGCAGCGGCAGCCATACGATCAAAAATCTGAGAATCTTACGCTCCAGCCTCCTCGAGGGAGCTACGTGAGGCAGGCGACCAGCTGCTGCCATCACCTGGGGCTGCCGAGCCGTTTCTGGCTAAAAGCGTCCGAAAACCTCCATTAGCTTCAGGTTAGCTTCGGGTTTGCTCAGGCAGTTCGTAGCTACCACCTTTGGCACCAAGCTCCATGTAGTTTCAGGTTAGCTTGTAGCTACATTGGTTCAGAGGTCATGGGTGTCAATCATTAGCTCCCACCCTCACTGCCCCACCTCTTTTCCCATTTTTGGATTGTCTGGGTGTGATGACACGTGCGACACAGCCAAGATGGCGGCAATCAGAACCACCCATTTGTCTTCAAAATAGCCCAACAGAAATATATGGGTGGAGTTTGTCCATTTTTTTTATAGTCATTGTTTCGTGACCCTAATACGCTGTTGTAACTGGTAGCTAAAACCAGGAAGAAGAAGAAATCAGGAACATTGACATACATAACTGTCTTTTAAATTGCCATGTGACAATTAAAAATAAAAAAGGATTGTTTTGGAATAAAGGTTAGCTGAACTGGAAACTGCGGGAACTGTTTCAATAAAATGTTTGTTTGCGGTGAATCGTTCATTAATAATGTAATCAAAATAATCTTTCTACACACAGGGCCCACATGTAACTTGTTACACCCAGTTTGTGTAAACGGTGAAATTATAAACAATACCAGATTTTTTTTTAATCAGCATAATAGCCACAAAAAACATTTAAAACCATCTGTAATATGCAAAAAAATAAAAGACTGTTTGTATTTACGAGGTAAAATTGGGGAAAAAACAGTCAGACACAAATAATACCAATTCCTGGGGATCATTTTTCAAAATAAAAGCATACCTTTAGGAAGGTTTGGCAGTCCTCTAAGCCAATCTCACTTAAGATGTTTTTCACTGCTCTGCGTCCCTTTCGAATCTTCTCAACATTTCCAACTGGAAGCTGATACATGATTCTCACACACTTAAAAAGAAAGAAAAGAACAACTTTAGATGAACATTTGAAGTTGTTCATTTCACCTCATTTACTAGAGGAAAATATGACCAATATTCAACAGGTTATTTGCCAATTTGAAAGTCCACCAAAGCTATATCGCCAGGTAGCCAAAACAAATAATAATTATTAATATTTATACTGGTCCATGAACTCACTATCACTAAGTGTTCACTTGGTTTAGCAATAACACATTTGCAATGTTGGTGTTTATACTTTATCAGAAAAAATGTGTATCAATTACAGTGCAAGATAAATCAGAATAAGCCCATATTTGCATCAGAGATCAATATCAGCATCAAAACTCTGAATTTTTGCATCTCTAACTTTAACATAAGCCATGTTGCAATTTTCCCCAACATGGTCTAAGTGTAAAATAAAATGTTGATTTCTACTTTTTATTGCTGCTTCAAATACATCAAATTATCTGGTGCAGCTCAAAATAAACAGGATTTTGTAATTAATGTTGAATTAGCAGGTTTATTTAAATGATCAGATTTCTAAAGTGGATGTTAATTAATACGAATTAAAAAATAATTAAAATACTTAATTACTGCAAAAAAGGCAAATAATAATAATTACTGTGGGAAAAAACTGAAAGAATCCGTATGGTTTTGGTGAACGGATACCTAAACTGCGATCGATGCTAAAATTAAAAAAAAAATGTGTGTGTGTGTGTGTGTGTGTGTGTGAGCCACTAAAGTAAGAAGCCCCTCCTGACAGCGTTACAGGATGCGGGGTCATTGAGGCGGTCACAGCGCATCTTCCTGCGTGAGGATTCTCCACAGCCTCCTTACCTCGTTGGATCTTCAGCGCTGATTAACGTTCGTCGTCGCTGTGCCACCGGCAGTGGAGCTAACGATCACCGCTTGCTTCCACTGGCCCACCTGTGTGAGTCGGTGTGCTGCGTCTGCTCCCAGCGCCGCGCACCACACACTTACCGGAGCGCCACCCTCCCGTATACACCGTTGCGTCAACACCGGAGCCCAACGCGAACCGTAATGATAGCAAACGAACTCCGGTGATAAGTTAGTTTTTTTTTTTTTTTTGCTCTTAGCTTTTGTCCCTTTCTTCCCCTGTTGAGGAAAAAATGGCGCTCAAGTTCAGGATCTGACGTAGGCGGCCTTATTTGCATACAGCACAAACTGACCAATGGGAGACTTCTGCCCCAAAACTAATATAACTTCTGTAATTATTTCACTGTAACTTCCAACATTGTTCAGAGATAGCCAAACAGTGCGTTGTATGATTTAACCTTTAAATTTAATCTCATATCGGAACTCTTTTATTGACTTTATGGATTCTATGAGGAATAGCTACTTAGGGGGCGTGGTTACACCGACCTCTACTGGCAGTCACGTGGTACATGGCCAAGCCAAACCAATCAGCTGTCGAGAAAATGAGCTAATGGGTGGTCCTTATGAGCTGATGTCACATCTTGCTACTTTTTTTAGCCAATCATGTTAGCCCATGATTTAAACAATAGACTGATATGTTAGATGTGTTTTTGCTAGCATAACATAAAAGCCATAACTTTTTAATAACTTTGCCTATTCAAACATTCTTTCTCGCTATCGTCACATGACATTTTTTAATGAATCGCGATTCGATTTTTAAAACGTTATGACAATTTTTAACAATCGATAAATATATTCTGACATTACCGTCTAGAAAATGTTTACGCTACCTGAGTTCATGTAGGTCATTAATTGATCTTTTACCCAAAAAAAGACGACATTAACAACGAATCAATAATTAACGTAGGTAAATTTTACGTTTTTCTCTGATAAATGCTTCCATGTGGTGGAGTGTTAAGCCACTTCTTTTGTTACCAACTATGGCCAAGCAATGACTACTGAATCCTTTTATTATTTTGCATTCATACCACCTGGTGCCATGCCTCACGATGACAAAATGACTCACGTTATTTTTATACCCTTACATAATTTCAGTGGCTATCTCACGTGTTTGTATTGTACCAACATAATTTAGAGTTTTTACCAATGGCGTCACTTCCACCATTGTGGCTTCTTGCACACCAAGACGATGCTGATTAGAAGAGGCAGAAGAGATAAAGCTGAGAAAATATCCTTGCCAAAATAAAAGAACTGAAAACAAGAAGACTTCTTTTGAGCCACTGAGTCAAAACAGTCAGATGTTTACCAATCAATGTGCAAATGCTTTAGAGTGAACACAGTATGACTCACCATTTATATTTGAACGTGGAATTCTTGTGGGTTGCATGGGAAGGCAGTTGGTGCTGCCTTGCAATGAGAAAGTTGCAAGTTTGAATTCAGGCTTTGGCCTTCCTGGATGAGGTTAGCATGTTTTCCTCATGAACGCGTTTTTGCCACATGTTAAAAAGTTGCATGTCTATGGGGGACTCCACTGTCCCCAGGTGGACTGGAGACGTGTCCTCTGCCTCTCTCACCTGATGTTAGGCACCAGCTCCCCGTGGCCCTACTGAGAAATAAGCGATTCAGATAGTGATTATATGCTGCTCTTTTCCTGGTTGACTAATATTTTCAATGTTATCAGACATAACTCAATTTGATCAATTTGCCAAAAAACATTGATTTCTCTGTGATTTTTCTTTAACAGAAATAGACTTTTTTCATCTTTTTTAATGTGATCAGCAGTTTTTTTATTTCTTTACCTCTAACGAACTATTGGGAGATATTAAACTCATTATGAGCCGCAATTGACTGCTTTAACATCTATATTTCATCCTAAAGCTGCTATCTTTAATTTCTTTACAGAGAAACATACATATTTTCCATCGAATCTGAGAAATGATGGTCCTCTTTATTAGCCAAAGCTTTAGATGATGTTATCCAGGAAAGTTTATAATACTACATGATCTAAGGATCTTGTTGGGCGCTGGCCAGGACAAACATGCCCTTTACTTTATGATCAGTTCATCTAATTGGTCCAAATTTCCACCTTTAAATGTTTTCTGTTGGCAAAAATTTGCCATTTAGTGTTTTTTGATGAAGACACGATAAATGATTTCAATCTGGGGTGGAATATTAAACTTCCCGGCAGTGCCACATCTAAAACAATACCTCCAGCTTTATACCTGGAGCAAACACAAAGTCCTCTTAGGCGTTGGATGAGTACTCCGAGCACAGTTACACAATCAGCTGAACAGACATAAAACTATAGAGTCACGTTCTACTTCATAGAACTGTTTATAGTAGATAAATACCAGGAAGAGGGTGGGTCTTCTTTATGCACTTATTTAGCTTGTTTATGGGATTTTTTCCTAATTGAGAACAGTTGCAGACATCAATGATGAGCCTTTAAAGGCCCTTTAATGCATTTTCTACGAGTCTCGTTTTATTCTACTCGAGTACAAAAAGTTGTGGTCTTTCCAACGACTATTGACGAGACGACGTACATCAGTGTTTTCTGAACAGTAGAATCAGGACTCTGAGATGTATTATCTATGCATGTAGGTGTAGGAGTTGAGCGCTCGCCCTGCAATCGGAAGGTTGCAGGTTCGAGTCCCGCTAAGTCTGTCGCTGTGTCCTTGGGCAAGACACTTAACCCCCCCTTGCCAGTGCTTGGCAGCCTCGCCTCTGTCAGTGCGCCCCAGGGCAGCTGTGGCTACATTGTAGCTCATCCCCACCCATGTGTGAACGACTGATTGTGTTGTAAAGCGCCTTGGGGGGTGCCAGGATTCTAGGCCATTTACCAGAAAAGTGGACTGCAGAAATACACAAAACTTTAATTTCAGGGAATGCAACCATTGTTACTGGTTACAGGAGGAAACGGGCTCATTTCTGGCAGCTAAGAGTCAAAATGTGTTTTAAGCTAATTTAATCCTCCCAGATTTGATGGCACACATGAAAAAACCCGTTATGAGTTAGAAACTCCCCACTAAAACACACACACTGAATGTTTCAGTCAGAAATGTATTAAATTAATCACTTTAAACAAGCACATTTACAGTCAAAAACAGGCTATGGTCCATTAGTGCTTCATACAAGTAATTAATACATTAGTCACTTGTAAAACACAAGGGCAGGATCAATTGAAAACGGCTTTAAAGTCACGTCACCGCTCTTATTTACCACAAAACTGTACAAGACACTGTGCTTTACACCTCTTGTGTTTTAAAGAGGCACGAGGAAAGCGTGTTACTTGTTAGCATTTCCTTTCAGAAGCCTGTGGACTACCAATGCAATGTCTTTTAGTTTAAATATCTTGAAGTATTTGGAGTTTGAGCTTCTCAGCTAGCAGTAATCAACCAAGGACACCAATGTGAAGATCTGAGAGCTCAGGGTCGTTATGCCAAATGCTTTTTTTTTATATCTAACAGTAAATTTTGAGCATTTTGAACCAGATTAGACTTTTTCTTTGCTAAAGGAAAGAAATGTTTTATGATGCAGCTTCTGTGCAATCACGGGAAGCTTTCCCAGACATCCTGCCTTGCCCAGAGGTTACACATAAAAATAACACATCTAATCCTGTAGCTTTACTGGGTCAAAAACAAAACAGCACAACATAAATAAATTATGAGGAACACTGACAGGTGGGCCACAACATGATACCTGGGCAAACACTGAAAGATGGGATTTTAAATATGCCACAGTAGTATCTGTCCAATAAATAAAAATTAAAAAACATTAAGGGGAAATACAATAAAGCGACAGGTTAGATCATTGTCATTTCTAATGAAATATGCAAAGTAATAGGTCTGACGTACAGAATCCTTGAAATGATTAATAAAAAAGAAAATAATCAGACAAAAATGCACCGGAGTTTAAACATCTATGCATTTGAATCAACTGATTAAATTATACATTTTGTAAACTGAATTAGATTTAAGAAACAAACCTTCTCAAACACGCTGGGAAGGAGGGGTCCCATCTCCAAAGAGTCGTCCATTTTGTTGCATAATATCATTTGAGTTTGGGCTAAAGTTCTTTTAAGAAAACAAACTCTTAATTATCTTCCAGGATCTTACACAATCACACTTTCTCGTCACTAGAGGCAACGGTTAATCTAACTCTGGTAGAAGAGAAAGAAAAAAACAAAAAGGATGGATTTGTGATGGATTTTCCAAGGTGGCTGGAATGTTGACCACATTATCCCAAAGACCACGCCGACCTCTCTTCTCACACGGTGAAAGCAGAGGTAAGAAAGATCTGTGCAATATGAACCAGGACAGGGCTGGAGGGAGGAAGGGGGGTTACGCGCTGTACTGGAGCATGGAGAAGTTCTTCAGGGCGCTGTCCAGAGCCACGCCGGCCTCCTGCATATCAAACCTGAGGAACACAGAAGAACAATCGTCTCTAATTTGCTCATGAGAAAATCAAACCACCAACGTGAAACAGGAAGAAGTTAAACGGCTCCACGCTCACCAGTCAGAGGTGGAGATGGTGTAGTAGACCGGCAGCTGGCTGGAGCTGGCGGCCCAGCTGAACTCCTCCAGGTGGCACATCCCCATGTTGGAGAAGAGCAGCCAGTCTCCCACGCTGAGCTCAGGCAGCAGGCAGCGCTCCACCACCTGGTCCAGCTCATCCAGGGACGGGCCCCAAAGGCTGCTGGGATACACGGCCTCATCAAGACACAACGCGTGCTGCGAAAAGAAAATCCATGTATAACGATGAGTTTAAAGCACATTAAAAACTCTAAATCGAGTTGGTCTTGGATACATATTTGGTTCATTTCATAGTCTCTGCGGGCATTCCTGTCATGACCCCCCTCTTGTTTACATCTTCTGTGCTGTGAGCTTATTGGCATCAGAGGTCAGCCTGGATGATGTGGAACCATAAATTACATCTGACACGATTACTCAGGTCTGGTTTCTACGGACGCCACCGAGCCAATAAGAGCGCACAGAAAGGAAAACAGTCATAATAGACGATTAATTCTTAATCCACCACAGGGGGTCGGAATGTGTCGAGTTCAGTAAACAAACATCACTTAAAATTAAATTTGTTTACAAAAAATTTTTAACTAAGGAAGTAGCGAACAGGTTTTATTTAGGCTAAGGTTGATACTTCTGCTGTGTGAGGAACCCAGAACTGAGTTACTCTTGACTCGTTCACTGCCAACGACGACTAAAGTCCTCATTTGCATTTTTTTTTTTTACTGTGTGGGCGTCGGACGAGCCCCCGCACCGTGAGAATAAACATCTCAGCTCTAACGCCGATCTTCATCTGCATACGTCACACGTCACGTGATCAGGAAGCAGAACATCCGTGTGTTAGGAGATCGTTTTGGGCCGCTGCTGTAAAAAAAAGTGAGGCGCGAACCGGAAAAGCTTCTGCCGATCACAATTCAACAACGGATTATGAAAGAACGGATAACGCTCAAAACGCGCGGATTCTTCCTGATATAAGAGGTGAGTCTACGCTTTGTTTTGGCGTCTACATCATCCTAGCGCGCATCGTTCTGTGACTTTAAAAAAAACAGTAAAAACGGTGAGAAATGCTGGCAGCGAATGCGTTAATGTACATTTCTAATCAGATTCTGTTAGCTAACTAACCTTGTGTGCAGACGGGGCAGCAACGGTGTTTCCCAGCAGCTTGTGGTTGAATGAGCCGTAAACTCCCTCAGTCATGTAGTACACGAACTCAGCATCCTCATTCTTCTCGCCTGGATTTAAACGTTTATTCGTTAAATACAAAACAACTTCAGGGATACGTAAAAAAAGAAAGATTAAGCATCTCACATGGAGACAAGTCATCCCAGTGGTGGGTAACCATCTTCTTGCCGATGACACTAACAGCCAAGGAGAAAGCTGAAGCCACGTAGAAGCATCCAGGCTGGGCCAACACCTGCACACCCGACAGGGGGGGGAAGTAAGCATCCAGGAGCGGCCTGACTGCAGACTCAACCTGTGCAGAGCCAAATACATAGAGATCAGGAGTTTAATAAAAATGATCTGATCTAGATATCCATGAAGAAATAAGCAAAGAGCACTCACCTGTTTGAGCTGAAAGTCTGAGCCAGTAAATCCACCCCCGATGTCCAGGATGTACATGTTAAAACCCAGATCCACCTGGAATAAGACGCCAACCTGCTGTTACTGAAGAAACCTTTTAACAGCTGTACTCTTTAGAAAAGACACGACGTACCCCCATGTCGAACACGCAGCGAGCATCAGACAGTGCACGAGTGTAGGCCTGCTGCAGGTCTTGGCAGGAGCTCGGGATGTGGAAGGCTGCTCCCACCACCTGGACACCCAGCTCCTTGGCCTTCTCCAGCAGATGTCGACAGCTCTTCAGAGAAAGACCAAAGGGCATGCTGGTCTCAGCCGCGTGGGCTTCAGTCGTCAACTGCAACAGCAACCTAAAAGGAATCAAAAAAATAAACATGAAATGTGCAACTTCAAATCAAGACATCCGTATTGCTCTTTCACCAGCGTAGCTACATTTTCTAACTTACTTCGCATTTGGGTGCAGGCGAGCAATCTTGGTCAACTCGGTCTCGTTTTCACACACAAGGTGCTGGATGTCGTTCTTGGCGGCGTGTTTGATGTGTGCCAGCTGCTTGAAAACACCAGACAGGATGATATTTTCTGGCGGCACACCATGCTCCAGAACCAGGCTCACCTCAGCCTGAAAGGTAAGCAGAGACACAAGTTAACTAAAATCCTCATCAGAATGATCAAAAACATTGAGTTACATAAGCTTGACAGAGAAAATTCATCAGCTGACCAGTAATCAATTGAGTGCTCGTGATGTAACTGCCCTAAAAGTGCCTTCATAAGAGGATAAAGCACTATGCAGTAGGGTCGTCACGGTAACCGGTTTAGCGGTAAACCCCGGTAAAAAAGTTGACAATAATAATAACCGTCTTGTTTTTAAAAAGATATACATTATCTCGGTGGATTACCGTGGCTGCGGTGTAGGCGCGGTGACCCTTACCAGCCACCGTATCATCTGCTGAAGTTGCCGGCGGCACATGCGCACTTTGTTGTTTACAACCAAAACTTTCTTGAAGCTAAAGCTGAAATAATGGCCAAAGGAGGAGACGGCAGTGCTCAGGACATTTATTATCCCCCAAAGAAGACCAAGTGGGAAGTACGGGCATCTTTTGGATATTTGAAGAATGCCGAGGGACAGCTGATAGAAGACGGCTATCCTGTTTGCAGCACGTGCAGAAAAAGTGTCTGTGAAAGGCAGCAATGCTTCAGATCACATGACACATCTGCGTGACCATCACCCACAACTCTACAGTCAACGCAAGGCAAGCTAACGTTAGCGTTTTAGCTAAAATGCGTGATCCAAGGATTTGGGTTGAAGGAGAATGCAACGAGTCGCTATATAAAGCAGCCGCAGCGCCGCTACCTGCATATAAACCGTGTCGCGGACACCCCCATGTTGAAATGACGCTATGCATTACGGGGCTCCCAGGGGCCGATAAGAGTTGGTCTCTCTCCGAGAATAATTATGAATTTAACAATGATTACTGCCTGATGACATTTTCTCACATCTGCAAAGCTCACTGGAAGGACCCAAACCGAGGACGATATTTTCCTGATATAGGGTTTATTACTCAAGTAAGGGTAAAAAAGTATCTGATTAGAAGGCTACTTGAGTACTGAGTATCATCTGGTCTAATATTTTTAAATGATGACATCAAACAGACATAAAATAAGAAGTTATGGGCAAATATTGGTATTTTAAAGACAAAAGGGAAAAAATGTAAACAAATAAACAACATAATTACAAAATAACACATTTTAGGCTAAATTTAGACAACCTGAGGACAATATTTCCTGACATACAGGGTTTATTTAATTGTGTGAAAATGTAGCACGTTTAAAAAAATACCGCGATAATACCGAAAACCGTGGTAATTTTGGTCACAATAACCGTGAGGTTACATTTTCACACCGTGACAACCCTACTATGCAGCATAAATACATTAATCCAAGTTGCTTATTTCTGCAAAACACTGAAAGCTTACCTTGTTGGCACAAATGAAGCCCAGGCCCAAGGAGGCCAGGACCTCGATGACTGCAGGGCTGCTGTTGCATTTGACTGGGTAGTATGGCTGCAGCCGTGGCACCACGCTCTGCCAACATACATGCTGGCGCATCAGGGCACCAAGGTCTCCCACTACAAACGCACTCTTCTCCACCTATACACACAGAAGGAAGTGAGAGGTACCCAACGATGACCAAAACTAAATTAAAAACCTGAACACACCTGAGCCTGTTCACAGATGTGTCCATCAATGACGTCTTCCAGAGTAACACCCCCCTCCAGGAGTTCAATGATGTAGTTTGGTTTGTCGGGGAGTCCCTTCATCTTAACCGTATTCTACTAAGCCGGCGATCATAAAGAACAGAAAAGCAAGTCAAGGGGTCACGACTGAGCCAATGGGGTCCTGCTGGTATGCAACAAACTGCACAAGAAAAGAGGGAGGAAAAGAACAGTTAAATGTTCATATGAAGTTACTGTAAACAAAAATCCAACTAATTACATTTTCTGATCCAACTTACATGGACAAGTCAGGAGATGGACCTGTCCCACTATCAGCTAGGATCCCAAGGTGGCTCAGCGTTGAAGTCAAAGTGCTCCCGGTAAAGGGCCGCCCCTAGGCCCTCTGGGTAGCGCTCATACACCTGTGCAGAGATGGGGGAGCCCTGGCAAAAGAAAGAAAACTAAATATTAGATATAAACACAACACCTATTTATGTGATCTATCTTTCCAGATGTTATTTTAAGATTTCCCAGCACCTTATTTGGTGATGATTTACAAAAGCAGCACACATATGGTCAAAAATGATAATTTCTCTAATATTTGGGACATTTTTCTTCTCGCAGCAGTTTGTTTTCTAAAGCCATAAAATTCCATGTTTTCATTTAGGATTCACTGTTATCTTCAACTTGACGAATGGAAATGAGCTCATTTCTGTTTTTTAAGAGGAAGCTGACGTCAGAATTTCAACTAAAACAACCACGGCCGCCGGCATTTTTTTTTCAAAGTACTAAGAGCGAAGTCACGCGCATGCGCTGAGAGTAAAAACAATGAGTGACAACTTGACAAATCGCTTATAAATGCGTCATTTAAGCAGAACAACCAAACCGCAGAATTTCATTAGAGTTAGCTCGTGAAAGCGAAGCCGTCCGGAGAATAACAAGCACCGCTGGGTCATAAACGCGGCCATGAAAGACTCGTGGAGGAGAAGCCGCTATCGCTGAGCCGACTGCCCTTCGATCGGAGACGGCTGTGCTAGCACCGTGTTTTCACGGAAACCCGCCAATAAACGAACAAAAACACTATTCACGAATGAACATTAAACCGAGGTCGGTTAGAAAATCATCAAAAGCTTCAAATTCAATCTGTCGCCACGTCGAAAACACAGACTTGAATTAAACGGTCTGTCATGTGGAGCAAGACGACGGAAAGAGCAGCCCGCCATGTTACATCCTGCCGCTCGAGCCCATAAACGAACAGCTTTCCCCGGTACTTACGTGAGATAACGGCCGAAAGGTTTTGGAAAATCGTCTTCTCTTTTTCGGCGGAATTTTTAAAGAGTAGTGGGCCCAACGATGAAAGAAAGAGAGAGGGCTGTTTTTGCCATATGTTTAAACGAGACACCCGAATCGGTCGAGCAGCGTCCCGTCTATCTGCTGGTGGGTGGTGGAACTACTGGAAGAGACGGGAAGTGCAAAAGGTAATCAACGGCACAGTGGGCGGGCCTTACTGTTCAGATTCACCAATCAGCGTTTGGTAAATTTGGGAACATACCAAATATATATTTCCGGATATCGTACCGCCAGTAATATAATTGTGATGTTTGTTCAGGTTACATAATCATAGTTTCCATTGATGGCCACTCACATCAAGCCGAGACTTCAGCGGTAATGTTTTAATCTGACTAGAAAACATCACAGAACTTAAATGATTAATATTTAGAGGAACCAAGAGCAAAAATCACAGTTTAAACAGTTATAAAAGTACATAATCTCAAACCAATTAGTCAATGTTTGATTCAGCCCCACTTTTTAATCCCTAAGAGACATGTCTTACAACAGAGCTCAAAGCTGTTCTCTAAATTAGAAAAAATATATATTTTAAAATGTCAAATAATCTTTAAACACTATGTAAAAAATCATAAAGGTGATCAGCAACCCTGTTTTTCAAATACTTGCCAAAATTTGTGCAACTATTTATAATTACCTTTACATCAGAACACAGTCATATAGCACAGCAGAAACAGAGCTGTTGTTTTATGGATGTGTTGTAAATGATGACTGAATGGACCATGTATGGCAAGTCCTAAATATTACGCAAAAATGCATGAGAATGAGTTGAGTTTAAACCTGCTCAGACTGCTTTCGAACACCTTCAGGCATTCTCCCAAGTTTGCAGAATGATGAAATGTGGCTTTGTGTTAAAGTAGCAAGCTGTCAACAACTCACATGCTGTGATAACAAAAATTCAGCCCATCTTATTGGGGAAAAAAACTTACTTTTTTGCACTTCTGTGCCATTGCTCAAGTCATGAGAAAGTTGGAGGGCCAACAGCTTTCTTATTTCAAAGGATCAAGTTGATATTTGGATCGTTAAATCCCACCAACTGCAGGTGTGTGCCCTTTGATTAGTTTGAACAAAGAGAACAACTACATATTTGCCGCAGCAGTGTTCATTCTGGTTGTCAGGGTTTGTCTGCTTGCAATTTGTGGAATGTGGGGGATTAAAGGTTTGAGAGCTTACATAATGTTTTTGTTATTAACCTTTTCCATTCTCTTGATCATAATTATAACCATTTAGTGATTTGTACGATCCGATTTGATTGGAATTTCTTTTTGATTTCCACCGGATGTTTTTCAGAATACACACTTGGCCTACAGCTACTTCATTCATACGACTTTTGTATTTTGTTGTTGTTGTTGTTGTTGGGTGTAACTGTGTGTGGCAGCAATAAAGTCCTTATGCTTCATTTATAGCCTTCTAATTTGTGCTGCATGTACAAAACACTCTGTCCTAGACGCACAAGATTCTAGACATCAAGGGAGGTCCTCCAAGATAAATATTTTGCATCTGACTCTGCAAAACAATGTCGGCTGGATGTTTTGGTTCCGGTCATATGAGTCTCTTGAGTTGCAAAAAGAGCCTCTTAAATGGGGGAAATACTTCTTAGTGGTGAAGTATTTGGTATTTTTGATTACTTGGGACTGAGTCATACATCGGTTCGGGCAGGTTTAACAACTAAAACCTCCCGTGGACATTCACATGAGAGTTTGTGACAAAAAGAGAAAATTAGATTCTGAGGTTTGGTTCCACTGAGTCCTGTTTCAATGCCTTCACTGTCCTCCAAAAGACAAACTTAATTTGTTCTCAGAAGCAGAGATGAAAACACTCAGCAGCGTAAACAATCAATTTCCCTTAAATTTCACAAAAAATACAAATCTACTTAAAAATGACATGGGAATGTGCTAGAGTTAGATTCTTATTCACGGTATAACTGCTGTAGAGGATAGGCACCTAGAGCTAAAATAAATACAATCCCTTACTTTTCTTTCACTTTATTATTAGCAAAATTCCCTCAAACATCCTTGTCCACTGAATTCTTATTTTATCACAAGCTTTCATAAATGCAAATGTTTTAAATTAATTTAATGACATGCACTGAAGACTCATTATGTTTCCATAACAATAATCACTTATATTAATTTTAGAGGATACGTAACACATTCATCAGATCCCAATAACCCATTCAAAAACAGCCTTTCTTTAACACTCAGTGTAAAAACACTCGACTCTTTAGCGCCACGCAGTTCAGAGTAGGTATTGCAGTTATGGTAGCCCACATGCATCAAAAAGATAACACCATTGTGGTGGTGCGCAAACGGCTGCGGGGAGAGGAAGACAATATAGTACTGACATCTACCTCGGGGTCATGCACAGAAAGCATCACGCATCAGCTTTTAACCCTCCCACTGTCCTAATGGGTGATCCTGCAAGGAAAGTTGACCATTGAGCAGGATTGATGATTTATCCCTTGAGGTCTACGTGGCAGGGGTGAGGAGTGAGCACCACCTCACCCCTGCCACATTGACCTCAAGTGATAAACCATCAATCCTGCTCAATGGTCAACTTTCCTCGCGGGGTCACCCATGCGGACAGTGGAAGGGTTAACCGTCTGGACATTTTATTTACGGTTTCTGGTGCTCTGCTGCTTCCTGCCGTCATCGTCTCTCTCACGGAATCGAGAGCTCTCTGTCCCTGTCCTGTGAATATATGTAGAATGGTCCTGATCAGTGATTTGCAGCAGCTGTGTCTTCTTGTTCCGCTGCTGTCACTCCTACCGTGTCTTTCTCTGCTTCCGTGTCACTCGTCTCCCTCTCCCCCGCATCTGTGCATGCACAGCCACAGTCATCGGTGTCTTTCAGCTTTTAATCTTGCGATTACATGCAGTTGGACCAGGGCAAGCCACCTGAGGGGAAGGAGAAAATTTTTCCCAAACCAGCCAGGCTGTCACGGAGAGAACCAACGCCATTCCCCATGCATTTGAAGGGAGATGAAAAACTTTCTTGTCAAAGCGCAAACGTAAAAAATGGAGCATTATTTCTTGTATGTCCCTAAACATCTACGGTATTTCAAGATGGAGCACCTAACATATGGAACTAGGATTGGGACAATATTCAGCGTAACTTGTACCAAGTTTTGTAACTTACTTACTTTTGTTCCATACCAACACAGTTTATTGAAGTAAAAATGTGAAATTTCAAGCTAATAGAAAATTTTAGTATTGATGTAGGTGAGAAAGATTTACCAAAAAGGACAAGCTTGTGAACGAATGAACTGAATTTGATAGTGAACAAGTAAAAATACTACAAGCTGTGATTTTAAAGTATTTCTAGTCAGAACTTCAACTTCAAATTTTAAACACTGAGTCCTCAAGATGTACAGAGCCAGATGTAATTATAAGACATGCTGTCGTCATAACCAGTTATTCTGTGGGCTAAAGGAAAGGCAGTAATCTATTCAAAATTAATAAAGCACTGAATAAAGAAATGAATGTTGGTTGGTCGTGTAGGGTTAGTCATGAAAAGCTGTCACTGATTTATAGACATTTACTGCCACCTAAAAGAAGCATATAAGTTGTGTTTAGTGAGACCCAACCACATAAGGACAACATTTCTATTATATATGTTTCAAAAGCTGCACTTACTGTTTATTTTTTTTATTTTTATTTTTTTGCTAAATGCTTTCGTGAAAGACAAACAAGGACATTTGGGGGTTGCATCAACAATGCAATTTTATTCTTGGTCAATAAACACAGTTCTTACAGTGTTTGATGTTTCTCTAATGTTTGTAGTAGTTTCTCCAGTTGTGAGAAGTTGCACTACTTATCCTTTAAAAGTGTGGTTTCCTCATTTATTCAATACATTTGCTGTGTTCTGTGGTGTAAATCAATGCCACAAGTCATCGAAAAAAAGCTATGATGCTCCTGTTCTGATATGCAAACATTTGCTGGTGCAAAGGTGGGCTGAAAATTGGATGATTACCCATTATTAGTAATGATACGCACACACCTAACTACTGATAGGCTAATAGAACGTGTTCAGCCATGTTGCATGGTCATTATCACCAAGACACTCCCCGCTCTCTCCTCGCTGCAATTAAAAAAAAGCCTTCCTGTGGGTGAGCGTGAGCCAAGATGGGTGAGGCCATGAATGCAAATAAACAGAATGACATCACAGTGTGAGAATTTTCAAATCCTAGAGTTTCACCATCTATGTTCTATCAGAAGCTAATGCAGGAAATAGGGGTAGAAAACTGTTTTCATGGTCAGCCTGCACGAAAAACTCAGAGTGTCTGATTATAATCAGAAATAGCAGTTTCAATATGTGTTTTCAGTCAATCGCACCTTTAAAGAATTAATCAAATTTGACACTTTTTCTCAGTCTGATCTAATCTTTTAATGGTGTCACTTGTACTGAATTGAAATTATTCTAATATTAATAAATATACAATTAAATATTACAAATGTGTCAATTTTCTTTCACTGAAATCTTAGTTTCACCCTTAATATAAATAAACTTTGCAATAATATTAGTTTTTAAAATTTAATCGGTGAAATTAAAATTTTCAAAAATAGTAATTAGATGGAAAAATCCCACCAATTTTATTTGGAATAAAAACAAACCGGGTCTGATAAGAAGAAATTGCTCAACGCTAAGCGTATCACTTTGACGCATGCGTAGACATTTTTCGTGGTCACGTGACAGCAGCAGCGCGCAGGTGGCTTCTGCGCATATGCAGAGCTGCTTCCCTGATCAGCTGACCGTGAGATGCTTGTTTGAAGGACCTCCGCGTCTAAAACCCGTTATTTTCTGCCTCGCATATGGGAAGCTGCTCCAGTTTGGTTGACGCACACGTTTGGACCCGACGCTGAGACCGTCAAACATCTCGGTAAGTCCACAAATGTCCCCGCTGTCGGTGTCGTGACGGCTGGCGCGAGACTCTCATGATAAACAAGCTGTCAGCAGCGGTCTTCTCGCGACCAGGGCTTATTTGGCTGCTCGGCATTGATTTCCACTTGCATTTAGGATAATCTGCAAACAAAACAAACAAAGAAAATCAGCTGTTTTGAGTCACGTGACGCTCATACGGTTTAATTCAATGTTGGGTCGTTATTTAGCAGTCAGCCTGTTAGGAACAGATCATATGACCCATCAGTCATCTGTTGCAGTCTGTGTGCAGCAGTCACTGTGAGGAAGTGAATGAAATATAAAGAGGAAGGAAGAATTGGTTAAAATCATTCATTATTGGACACATTATCCCAAATCTCACATGACTGATGAAATAATGTAATGGAGGTTCTTGGGTAACTAAAAGTTACCATCCTCTGTAAACATCCTTTCAGAAATCAGGTTTATTATTTATTCACAATCACAGGATGCTTGATTAGTGCTAATGCCATGTTGTTGTTATCCACTCCTGATATTATTTTGTACTCTTCCCTCAGTGACATTTGTGGCTGGGTGAACGTATTTCCTCCCTGCAGCCATGACAGAATTCTGGTTGATCTCCGCCCCGGGAGAGAAGACGTGCCAGCAAACATGGGACAAGCTGATGGGGGCCACAACAGGCACCAGTAACCTGTCCATCAATAACAAGTTCAACATCCCTGACCTCAAGGTGATGCACAGTGTTTCTATATGGCAGCAGTGGAGATGAGATGCAAGAATGGGAATTTATTTAAAATTTTTGCCTCCAACAGGTTGGAACACTGGACGTGTTGGTGGGTCTGTCGGATGAGCTGGCTAAGCTGGACACGTTTGTTGAAGGGTAAGTCTATTGAAACCTAACTCAGTTTCTGCAAGTCCCATGAGGTGCTTTGTACTCGCGTGTCTTCCTTTGATGTTCAGTGTGGTGAAGAAGGTTGCTCAATACATGGCAGATGTCCTGGAGGACAGCAGAGACAAAGTACAGGAGAATCTGCTAGCCAATGGAGGTAATCTTCATCAACACAAACTGAATTAATGATCATTATTGCTCACAGAACTGAAAATGATTATTTCTCACAGAGTTTGTTTGGATTCTTTCCTTTTTTGCTGCAGTTGACCTGATCACCTACATCACCAGATTTCAGTGGGACATGGCTAAATATCCGATTAAACAGTCATTGAAAAACATCTCGGAGATCGTCTCCAAGGTCAAATAAAACCATAGAATTTTTATTTCTGCCAGAACTATTCTCACCCTCCTATACTCCAGCAAATGTTGTCACACACACACACACACACACACACACACACACACACACACACACACACACACACACACACACACACACACACACACACACACACACACACACACACACACACACACACACAACATATATATATATACACACACACACACACACACACACACACACACACACATATATATATATATATGTATATATTTAGATGTACATACACTTATATAGATATATAATTTTCCTAGGACTAGTTGTTACAGATCCCTTTCAGCACAATAGTTGAGAACTTGGTGGAGTGCACTTTGCCATAGATTTTGTGGTGAAATTGGCGTGACACATCTTCAGTTGTGTGCCCCGCTATATCTATATCTATATAGATATAGATATATCTATATAGATATATCTATATCTATATAGATATATCTATATCTATATCTATATAGATATATCTATATAGATATATCTATATCTATATAGATATAGATATGTCTATATAGATATATCTATATCTATATAGATATAGATATGTCTATATAGATATATCTATATCTATATAGATATAGATATGTCTATATAGATATATCTATATCTATATAGATATAGATATATCTATATAGATATAGATATATCTATATCTATATAGATATAGATATATCTATATCTATATAGATATAGATATAGATATATCTATATAGATATAGATATATCTATATAGATATAGATATATCTATATAGATATATCTATGTCTATATAGATATATAGATATAGATATTTCTATATAGATATAGATATTTCTATATAGATATAGATATATCTATATAGATATAGAATTCTATCTATCTATCTATCTATCTATCTATCTATCTATCTATCTATCTATCTATCTATCTATCTATCTATCTATCTATCTATCTATCTATCTATCTATCTATCTATCTATCTATCTATCTATCTATCTATCTATCTATCTATCTATCTATCTATCTATCTATCTATCTATCTATCTATCTATCTATCTATCTATCTATCTATCTATCTATCTATCTATCTATCTATCTATCTATCTATCTATCTATCTATCTATCTATCTATCTATCTATCTATCTATCTATCTATCTATCTATCTATCTATCTATCTATCTATCTATCTATCTATCTATCTATCTATCTATCTATCTATCTATCTATCTATCTATCTATCTATCTATCTATCTATCTATCTATCTATCTATCTATCTATCTATCTATCTATCTATCTATCTATCTATCTATCTATCTATCTATCTATTATCTATCTATCTATCTATCTATTATCTATCTATCTATCTATCTATCTATCTATCTATCTATCTATCTATCTATCTATCTATCTATCTATCTATCTATCTATCTATCTATCTATCTATCTATCTATCTATCTATCTATCTAAATAGTTTGAACCAATCAATACATTTGAGACTTGGTGGCATTTTTGAACACTTTCCAGGTTTTTGGAAGATGCATGTAACACTCAGTCTTTCTCTTTTGGTTTCTAGCAAGTGACCCAGATTGACAACGACCTGAAGGCCAGAGCTTCAGCCTACAACAATCTGAAAGGAAACCTGCAGAATCTGGAGAGGAAGAATGCGTGAGTAAATGCGTAAACATGTCTAATGTGCTTTAAATGCATACTATGCTACTCTTTCATATTTACAAATCGTTTTCCTGAGCCAGTATGTGATAAAAGGATCTTTACAGGGTTATTGAAATGTCACTCAGACCCCTATCACCCTCTATGGCCAGAATACTGCTCTTGCAACTTCAGAGTGCCGGTCTGGTCCCTGTCGGCCTTAGAAAAAAATGAAACTGACATACTCGGCGCTGCAGTCTGCTTCCAGCATGTTTCCTGCTTGTTTTGGATCATGAACACAGAAGATTTGTTTCATTTAGTGATGAATCGCTTCTGTAGACACTAATGAAGCCTGGGAGACATTTCAGCTGTTAGATTAAGGTGCTAAAAAGACCAATGCACAGTGATAAGTTTAGCTTTTGGTTCTACTAAACAGAACTTTAATTTTTTTGTGCTAATTTAAATTAGCATAGCATTACTGCTGCAAATACAACATTTTGTTCTTTTTATTAGCCTGGAAAGAGATTTTAAGGTGTAAAAACATAATTTCCGCTCATTCTGTAGAAAATTGTTCTTTATCAGAATGTTTTGTCAGGCCTCCAGTTGTTTACGATCTAAAGTTTATAAATGTGTGCCTTTCTTTTAGGGGAAGTTTGTTGACCAGAAGTCTGGCAGATATAGTAAGGAAAGAGGACTTTGTTCTGGACTCGGAGTACCTGATCACCATGCTTGTGGTCGTTCCAAAGTAAGGAAAAAAAGCCTTTATCTGGTAGGCTCAATGAACAGTGGGGAAACTCAATTAAGTACATTTTTGGTCTTAAAAGTGCTCAGAATTACACATTTAGATTTAGGTTTGAGAGTTTAATACTTTTTGGTGAATCAGTAAATATAAGATCAATGTTGACTTTTCTTACCAGAACAGGTTATCCTGATTGGCAGAAAACCTATGAAACCCTTGCAGAAATGGTCGTGCCACGTTCCTCAAAGTAAGTTTTTTTTTATTTTGTAAACAAAAAAGGGGATAGTAGATGTTTTTCTATGTTTTTGTATGATATTGCATGAAATGCGTTTCATATACAGATGGCGACCAATAAAATTAAATGTTTTCTCAAAAAATTAATAAGTACAATTGCTTCTCAAATGTACAATTTTGGAAAAACCTCATACGATCGTTTTGAATGTCCCATTCTTAATGATTAGGTCAAGGTCCATCCATCAAACTGCCCTCTGTCCATCCCTCCCCCCTAGCTAACATAGCTAACCAGAGCCTGGCTAGCTATGTTAGCTAGCTTACTACATTTTCATACAGTTAAATAGGTGCATTATGCCAGAAAACGTCCTGACTAGAGGTCGACCGATATTGGTTTTTCTTTTTCTAATATCGATGCCAATAAGTAAAGGTCACGGCCAGCCGAAGGCCGATTTGTTGCTACCAGTATTTTGGGCCGGTTTTTATGGCAGATAACAGACGTTTTCCACCTTATTTTCATGCTAAAATGTAACTTATAACATTAGTTGATGCACAAAATTTCAGAAGCTGAATTAGTTTTTGAAAACTGAATTTAACCAGCTTTCAAATTTAAATTTTGCGCACAGCTGTGTTAAAATTAGACGTCTAACCAAAGTTAGTCAAAACATTCAGTAAACCGACCTAGGATTAAATATTCCAAACTGCTAAATAAAAAGAAATGTTAACTGGAAAACATTTTCTGAGCATTTCTAAGGAGGTAAATCGGCCGATACTGATACAAAATGGTATATATCGGCCCAATATATTGGCGGACCGATATATCGGTCTACCCCTAGTGCCAACTATAGATAAAAAATGTAAACCTGAAAGGTTAAAAGGCTATGGCCAAGAGAAAAAAAAGCAGTGTTTAACTTTCTTTTTTTTTTAATTCAACTCAACTGCAACTAAGAGAAGCCCCCAAAAGAGGCTAATGAAGCAGCTGCTCTTGTCTTCCACTCTGGAAGTTCCTGTTGAAAGCTTGTGGCTAATGAAATGTTTGGAAGACCTAAACCAAGCTGCAATTCTTCTCTCTGTTCTTTGGACAATGAGTTGTTTATAACAGGCTCATCTCCTAACCCTTTCACGAGGAACGTCACTCATCTTGTGTAAAGTGACCTTGGGTGTCCTGAAAGGCGCTTTGAAATAAAATGTATTATTATTATTATTATTATTATCTGTGATCCAAACACAATAGATTAAAATGGCTTTTGATGGGCTGAGCAACCCGAGTCGGCCATTGTCTTTGTGTGTTCGAGGGTGAATGAGACACATCCTGGAAAGTTAGTCGTGCAGCAGCAGAACGAGCCGTGTTTTACTAACAGCTGAGGGTAAAATGTGCTAAAACCTCCTCTCTTCCCTTTTATGGAATTGTCTGGGCTGGACGGAACCTGTGACACGGTCAAAATGGCGGTGGTGGCCACCTCCCATTATAGACAACAAACGTGTTATTGAAGCCAATGGAATCCGTTTGTCCAGTATGTACAGTCTATGGCTAAAACACATCAACGTTTGATCGACGTGTCTCTACTTGTGCAGGCTGGTGTTTGAAGACAATGAGAGCGGTCTGTTCAGCGTCACTCTCTTTAGGAAGGCCGTGGATGACTTCAAACACAAAGCCAGAGAAAACAAGTGAGCATTTCTAATTCATTTGATCACTAGTGACTTTGTGAGAGATGTCTTGTTTAATATTAGTGCTGCTGCATCAGCTGTATGATTGCTAAGGCCCGGTTCACACGGCGATGTAAGTAAGCTGATTTTCGACCCGATTTTAAAGAGCAAGTCACCCCAAATCAAGTTTTTTTGCTGATAAACTACATAAATAATCATGCTGTTGACACGTGTAGTCAATAATTTGGCATTTTAGTGCATCTTAGTTAAAATTTAAACATTCTGCCAAAAACTGTCAGTGTTACGCCCTCTTCAGGTGAAAACTCTGCACTACATTTGAATTTAATTCTACAATCGCTATTGTCTAAGAGCTGGTACCATATGATGTCACATTGCTGCTGTGAGCCTGTGTGTGTGTAAGTTTTTGTTAGCGGCTCCACCCTCTCGGTCTGCTAGGCAACAGCTTTTGTTGCATTTTTCAAACAGGAAGTGGGAGTGGAGTAAGACTCTTGTAGGGGGTGACTTGCCCTTTAAGGATACGCCCCATTATCTCAAATCCACCAGAAACGGTGTTATTAGCTATTCCTGTCATGTTTGGTGGAATCATAAGTTTTGTTGAATTTCCTTGGTGCAATCTCGAGGACAAATAAGCGTGCTGCCTAATGACTGGGACGTATAGCCAGTAGTGAAGTGAGGTAATTAAAGCACACTGCAAACTCCTCATCCGCCAGTTTCTTTTACTCCAAAGAGGTTTTTGAGACGTTCCCTGTCTGACCGGAGAAAGTCCATGTGTGGTTTTTGTCGTTTCGCTGCGCACCACACACCGTAACCCGGGCTTTTCGCCAGATGTGTAAGCTGCGAGTAACCGAATAGATGTTCACCATGACCTCAGCCGTTCATGCCTTCAGACCGAGAGCATTTCAGACGTGCAGCGGTAGCAAATGCATTCAAAGCAACTGGTCAAGCGAGATGAGAAGAATTTAAATGAACCTGCATAATTTCACCATTTCACACAATAACTGACAAGGAGATAGATGACAGAGTCTATCTAATAGTCAGCGGTTTTGTTTCTGTTATTTTTACCTCAGCCATGGACGTGTCGCTGGTAATGATGTGTTTTTTTAGTCGTTGAAATCTGCGCGTGTCTTTTATTTTGAAGGTTGCAGGATGTTTTACACTGCTCTAGTGTTTGATTTCCTCTCTGGGCCCATATCTTAAAGGGTTGTGGAAGCGTAGTGCATAAAAAATAGACCCAGAGTGTATATTTATTTAGCAGAAATCACAGCAACGCTACGCTTCAGGGACATGCCTGAGACGCACCGCGCCACGCCAAGTGAAAACGCGCCCATCGTCTATAACCGCCACTATTAGCTGCGTATTACGCTTCGCAGACATTATGCAACAATTACTTACTCGATGGAAAGCCGGGGATAGGCCAAACCGTTAAATCCGTGATTTGTTAATCCCCACATGATCTCATGTTTTGAAAGTGGTCCAACACTTCTAAAATCCTGCCGTGTGAAGCGGGTCTAACTCGCTCTGGGGTGTGGTCTCATTCAGGTTTACGGTGCGTGACTTCCAGTACAACGAGGAGGAGATGAAGGCAGACAAGGAAGAGATGGCGCGTTTGTCCACGGACAAAAAGAAACAGTTTGTATGTGATTTCCTTTTATCGTCACACTGACTGTATGTTACCGGTCTAAAGTCATAATTAGGTTATTAGATGACTTTGCTGTGATCTTCAGGGTCCTTTGGTTCGATGGCTGAAGGTGAATTTCAGCGAGGCTTTTATCGCGTGGATTCACATAAAAGCTCTGCGTGTGTTTGTTGAATCGGTACTGAGGTAAGACCTGATGAGGATGTAACGGTTACTGCTGTAGACAACTTATTAAGGGTTTACTTTTCTTTTGAAAGATACGGCCTGCCAGTCAACTTCCAGGCCATGCTGCTGCACCCCCACAAGAAGAACATGAAGAAGCTGAGAGAAGTGCTGTACGACCTGTACAAACACCTGGACAGCGGTGCTGCCATCATTGACGTGAGTTCATTTACATCTAGAAGTTTCCATTCGGTGAAAAACCCAGACTTTACGGCTTCTATAGCAAACGTACAGAACCACGCAAACATGCAGTGCACTTACACACTTACCCTAAAAAGACCTGCGTTGTTTTTTAAATAATGTAAACACGTTATGGGTTCGATACACGCTTTTATTACCTGACACACGGGAGGCGAATCTTCCGTTGTTTTGATTGGCTGTGTCAGGTTGGAGGGAATTAAGGTTATTTAAGCGGTTCAGAGTTAAAAAAGCGGTAGATATGATGTTTCACAAGGTGCTGCTAGAGTGAAATCTTACTTCTGATTTTACTATATAAAAAAACAGAATGGTTCATCCCATATTACAAATCAGGAGAGGGCTACTCTCCGTCTATCAGGACATGCTTCAATTTATCACACGGTTTGGACCTCACATTAAGATGAACACAGTCACAGAAGGAGAAACAGAGTCCATGTTTGCTCGGAGATGTACAGAGCATCCCGTCCGCTCATTGGTCAGTGAATGAAACCTCCGCTGATTGGTCCTCGTCCGAGCGACAGCGATGAAAAGTTGAAAATATTTCAACTTTCTGGGATCGCGTTGCCGGGTCGCCTGTGCACGACACGTGCACGAGCGCAAAATTTCACACGCACGTTTTTCGCGTTTCGCTTAGTAGGAGGGAGACCCGCGATTATCGATTTGTCGCGCATGTCTTATTGAAAATGAATGGAGGAGAGCCGACGTCGCCTCCCATGCGTCGAGCCCATTAGTCTGGCTGACGGTGAACTGGTTCTAATCGAGCTGAAGCACCCTGATAGTGCGGTAGCAATCCAAATACAGTCTTCATGTAAACGAGTTAGCCGAACTGAACCGGTTGGATGCTCACGGTCCAAAAGTGACGGGACCGTGGAATAATATCGCCACAAAGTAACACGTGTAACACCATCAAACAGTACGTACCAAATAAGCACATTCCTGTTTAAACTCTGTTTGCTTCACTCCTGCCAGCATTTGTTTACTGTTTGTGTTGCTATAAGCTAACTGGAAGAATGCCGATATCCATGTCGCCACCTACTGTACCGGAGTGGGACAAACTTTTGTGAGAGGTCGGTATTCTAGCGTACACGTAAACTAGGATAAAAGCTCCCACTTTATTACCGTAAGATCGACTTAGATGTCGGTCAGTGTTCATGTAACTGAAACGATGGTCACAGTGTGCTCACGCTTCCCCTCGGGTATCTTCCCCTGGCCACATATGCCAGAACCGGAAACTTACATTACCTGAGGACACAAGAGAGGGCTAAAAACCAGTAGCCACTTTCATGGCTTCAAATTGTGTTTTATCTCTTTGGGAATCTGGTAGTTTGTCTTAAAGTAGAAGTGGTAGCAGCCGGCTGTTTCTCCTTCTCTGATATTATTGAGCGGAGAACCTCTCACACCAGTGGTGTTCTGCTGCTAAATACGTGAGTGCATTATGAGTGGAGGACCCAGGGAAGTGCAGAAGTGTGGTGGTTCAGCAAGATCGACTACCAGATGGACCAGTGGTCGCTTTCGTTCAGAAACGTGTTTCTAGCGTCGATTTTTAGACAAATGCGAGAGGACCAATTTAATTATTTTTTTCGTTTTTACTTTGTTAGAAGGTTGTTAAAAGGCAAACAATGTTTTAAAGAGCAAGTCACCCCCAAATCAACTTTTTTTTCTGATAAACTAAATAAATGTGTGTCTAATCGTGCTGCAGACACGTGTAGTCAGTAGTTTAGCACTTTAGTGCATTTTAGTTAAAATTAAAAATTTCTGCCTAAAACTGTCAGTGTTGTGTCGTTGTCAGGTAAAAACTCTGCACTGCATTTGAATTTAAATCTGCCATTGCTATTGGCTAAGATTTACCCTAGAACGTTATCTGGTACCATATGATGTCACAGTGTCATTGTGAGCCTGTTTGTGTGTATTTGTTAACGGCTCCATCTTCTTGGTCTGCTAGGCAACAGCATTTGTTGCATTTTTCAAACAGGAAGTGGGAGTTGAGTAAGACTCTGGTAGGGGGTGACTTGCTCTTTAAGTTAATTTGTTTTCCATATTTGCCATTATTGATTCAAGTTCTGTTTTTGTGTGAACCGGGTTTGACTTTTTTACTGTCGTCTGCTTCCAGGCTTCCATGGACATCCCTGGGTTGAACTTGAGCCAGCAGGACTACTACCCCTATGTTTACTACAAAATCGACTGCAGTTTGCTGGACTTCAAAGTCTAAACACTCTGCCACTGTCATCGTTTGCTGTGTTGTTCTAATGTGACATGTCTAAATTCACAAGATGTCGTTATTTCTCCTTCCATTTTTTGAACCCTTTCATTTATATTTTTACTTTCTTTAGCATTTACCTGTACCTTTGTGAGTTTGCTCACCCATTGGGATTGTTGCAGCCATCAGAAACTCTTTAGGGTTAACTGATTAGTTTTGATCAAACAGACTTGAACATGGGTTTTTATTTTTTATAATTCCTGTTTAGTCAGACCTGCAAACAAACAGTTTTCACTAGAAATGACACGTAAACTGTTGTCTTTTTATTGTGGCTGTCCTTCCCCTGAACAAAACAAGATGGTTACATGCAGCATATGGGAGACATGGGAACAAAACTATGTATATGAAATACTCGTATTTATTTTATGCTTCTAAAAATCAGTAAACATGTTTTTGTTTTCAGTTTTTGAAAGCGCTGTGGTTTTTCTTGTTCCAAGCAACAAATGCTTACTTACAAGTAGAAGTTGACCTCTGCTTTCCTTCTCCTGATGTGATCCTGTAAAACGCTGGAAATGTTTGAATTAATATACAAAAAGATGTGTCTGCTGAATATTTGATTTTTATTTCTCTGTATATTTAACACATTAAGAAAACCAGAACATTGTATTATGTGCTGATTCTGTATTGTATGTTTGAAGGAAAACTGAACAACCTATTTAAAATAATTGTGAAAATAAATTCTATCTGGAAAATACATATTATTTGCCTCTAAAGACTGTCTTTTAATTCCAGGATCTGCCATGATGCCAACAGAAACATTTTTGTTGTCTTGTGCTTTCTGTTGGTTGTTTGTAAACTCAAAAAGCTAACTGCTCGCCTTTATATAACCTCCCAGCACAGAAAAATAAGTAGACCTCCAGTCGTGCCTACTCATACCACCAAAGTTGTTTAGTGCTTAAAGGTGTATACCATTCATTTAATCAGTACATTTGCAGTGATGTTTAGTAGGAATGAATGGCTTGTAAGTCGTTCTCAGGGAGCAAAAACACTGGCGCACCATTTCTGGGAACTAGCCACATCACAGCTGAGCTTCAGACAGTAGATTTTGGAGTTTTATTTCCTGATATTTGGACATCTCACCCAGTGGCGGCACCAGAGGGCGCTAGGGGGCGCTATAGCTACCCCTGGATTAGTCATTGCACCCCATTGCAACCCCCAAGTAAATATTAGATTTTTTTTTTACAATTTAATTTTAATTTAACGTGTGGATGTGATAATATTTAACAAACAAAACAAAAATAATCAGTAAATTATCATATAAATAGTAAAAACTTAAACCAAAACAGGAAATTGATGTTAACCTTTGACCTCATTTTCCACCTGTGAACGAGTGAAAGGTAGAGCTAGCGGTAAAATGGATCGCTTTTTGTTGCCCAAATTTCCACGGGTTCAGTCAGAAACGAATGAATGTTTGGAAGTGATCTCAGACCCACAAAAACCTACGGATCTGGATGGAGAGAGTCAACCCTCAACCGCCGCAGCAATCGAGGGTTTTGCAGCTGGAAATGCTAACACTAACATTAGCTAACCTTGCAACACTATAGATGGTTTTCTGTGTGGCTGTATGTGTTTATGATTTCATGGAAAAGTCAGCGATTGTTCATATGTTGATGTTTATTAGTGATTGTTTCAGGTGTTGTTGAGGTTTCGTGCACGCATGTGTATCTGCTAGTGATGAAGGTGTTTTAGAGAACAATAGGTACGCATGACAACTTCCTTCATAGATTCTCACCTCTGATTGGATAACAGGAACACAACTACCATCTACTTTCATTGTGGATGTTTTATCCCCACAAATAACACCAGAGCTTCTGCCGTGTGGTGGTTAGCTTCTACTAGCCAAGACGCACTCAGCTCTCTCGGATAATAAAACAACAACAGTCTTCCCCGTCATGAGTTAAGATGGGTGAGTCCATGAATGTAAAGCAACAGTGTGACGCAGATCTGTCAGGATTTTCTAATCCTAGAGTTTCATTGTCTATCAGAAGCTAATGCAGGAGATAGGTGTAGGAGACTATTTTCAAATTCAGCCTGCATGAAGAACTCAGGGTGACCCATCAGAATCATAAATATTCATTAAAAATGTTTTTTTCAGTGTTTCACACCTTAAAAAAAGTTAGCAGGAAGACATGAATGTTCCAGTAAATCAACATTTTCAAATAGCTCATGTTGAAAATCATTATCATTATTCTTTTAAATTAAAATCTAGATAATTTATTAAATTAGGTTATATTTGTTTAAAAATCAAGAACAAAATTAAAACCTTTCCCTGAATAAATAGTAGTAAATGTAGTAATGTATTTCAAACATATTCAGTTACAGAAGAATCCAATCATAGTTACCTTTTACAATAATTTATATGACTACTTATACAATAAAAAATAAACGTGGTAAATGTAACATCTGATTAATGCCTCAGTTTTCTGACTTAGAAGACAATGGTGGAGATTTTAAAGGAGTGCTTTTATCAAATATTTTTATATACATGGAATTAGATTATCAAAGATCATGTGTATAAAGCTTTTAAAAATAAATTGTATGTAGGCTAGATTAGGTTTTGACTTGATTTAAAAGTATTTAATCAGTTTTTATAATGACCAGCAGATGACGACTTCTATATTGTAAACAATTACAAATGTCTTATGTTTCTCATCATTCACTTCAGGTCCTCGTTTCAGAATTCTTGTTAATAATAATAATAATAATAATAATAATAATAATAAATGAAAGTACTTAGACTTTTTAATAAACATCAACTCAATCCAATTCCACAATATTCTTTAAAAAATAGCAACATTCCTTTAAACTATGTGTAATTATGCCCTAAATTGAATAATCTTAATTTATTTGGCATATTTTCAGGGGTAAACCTCCACCTTTGTGTTTTGAAGTGTAAATCTTTATTGTTTTCGTTTCTGTTATTATAATAAACTGCATAACGAAACGTTGAGCCTGAATGGCAATAATCTCTTTCAGAAGTGAGACTGGTGTGTTATAAAAGTCAAAAAGTGATTCAAATACCTCAGAAGTTATGTTTACATCAGGATTGCTGAACATTTATTTATTTTTACGGTGAGATATTATAATTATCATTAACAGACGCTGAACCTAAATGATGTGTTTACATTTTATTTTGAAGAGTTTCCAGTTTTTACAGGCAGAAAAATTAGTTTGCACCTACCGGAAGTATTTCAACGTAAAAGCATCGGTTGTGAAAAAACGAGTTTTTTTGTTCACCTGAAATAAAAATACTACAACAAAATGAATAACTACAAACAGTGCCAATCACGGAACATTAATGTTCTTTGTGTGTTTGGTAATATAAAATAAAGTTTAAAGCTCTAGTGAAACACGGTAGAAACCGGAAGTTGTGACTGAACTACGTCAGCTATCGGAAACATTTTTATTTTTCTACAGCAGCAGAAGACTCGGACGTGGACGCACATTCCTCCGCTGTTTGCGCCCGAAGCATCGCTCCAGATGATGGATTGTTCTCAGGAGGTTCCGTCTGTAATCGAGGAGTCCGGCGCTCAAATGGAGCTCAAAAAGGGAATGTCCATTTTTATTGACGTAAGTAGCTTTTCCCCTTTTTTATTATGATATTAAAGCTCAACTCTAGTTTCAGCTTATTTGTTCTGTTAATTAATATAGAATGTATCAATTTAATTAAATGTTTTTTTTCTATTTATTAAACACGTTTTCAGTTTCACAGCTGATTTACTCTTGGGTTCAAAGAAAATGTGTCAAACAGATCTTCTGACTCTGAGGAAAGAAAAGAAACCCTGATGAAAGCTGGATTTTGCCGGATGAAGTCAGACTGAAACACTAACAGCTTTTCTTCTGCTGTGGGTGTTTGTTCATCTGAGTCAACTCAAACATTTTAAGTACGAAAAATAGAGATCAACAGACTCAGAAATTAGATTCAGTGACCAATTACAAGCAGTTCAGCCATTAATCCTTGAAGCACTGAATATATAATTATTTTTTGGGTAAAAACTAAACAATATTTGGGAATATTTGAAAAAACCAGACTATATTACCATAAATTAGTATATTATTATTATTATTATTATTATTATTATTATTATTATTATTATTATTATTATTACCTTCCATTAAATTATGAACCTCATATTTTCAAGTCTTCGGGGGGGGGGGGGGGGGGGGGCTATCTCCATCGGTCAATGGGCAATCAGGCGGGGTACACCCTGGACAGAGAGCCAGTCCATCGCAGGGCAACAAAGAGACACACAGGACAAACAATCACACACACACACGCACACGCACACACACACACACACACCTAAGGACAATTTAGACAGACCAGTCAACCTACCAGATAGGTTTTTGGGCTGTGGGAGGAAGCCGGAGAACCCGGAGAGAACCCACGCATGCACAGGGAGAACATGCAAGCTCCATGCAGAAAGATCCCAGGCCGGGAAGCGAACCCAGGACCTTCTCGCTGCAAGGCAACAGCTCTAACCACTCATAAAAAAGATAATATTAATTTAAAAAAATAACTAATCATAATTTTAAAACAAGGAATATTTATAGATATTGGACTAGAAACAGTGATTTTAACAAAATTTAAAAGCAGTTAAGTAATAAATCCACATTTTTAATAGCCGAAGCCTTTAGTTTGTCTTATTTCTTCTGAAAACCCAATTTTAATTGCATTTTTAATTTCACCTATTTGGTATAAATATAAGACCTCATTAGAAAAATGAAATATAAAAAATAATCCACCTGAATAAGGGGTCCAAGGGTCCAAGTCAATAATTTCACTAAGATTCTGCACATATTCTGTTCATCTTTTGTGTTTATTTCACAATTATTTATACAGCTAATCTCACTGAAACATCAGGTCTCAGACAAAAAGGCAGGTAGGACATTCTAAAAGACATTTAAAAGTGAGTTTGGGCAGAAGTTTAAAGTTTATGAAAGCTCAAGTTTAATGTGAATTGAGACTGAATTTGATGTTGAAGGATTATTTTTTGGAGTCTGTTTTCTAGTTTTAGACACTTTGCCTGCTCAGATTCTTTACAAGTGAAAGTGTGGCTCCATTAAAGAAAAGTGTTTATTTTTAGTTAGATCAGCTTAAAGCTGACGTGGTCGCTGCCAGCCTCTCTTTCATCTCCTGCGGACTCTGGGACAGCTCGATCAATAATTCAGCGACATGCCACTTTTGCGAGTGTGATCAATGACCACCCCCCTCCCCTCACTCCCCTCCCCTCTCTCGCTCACTTTAACTTTGAAGAAGTGTCCCCCTGTCTTTCTGACATCTCTCCTCCCCTTCTTCTGTTTTAGATTCTGCGGAGAGCCGATAAAAACGGTGCGTACCCAGACCCAAACACACACTTCAGCCCCATTTTCCCTCGTGTGCAAGAACAGATGCAGTTCCTCGGATCAAATTCTGATCATGACTCTGTGCTGATCGGTTACCATGGAAACAGAAAACTGACCATGCCAGTCATGGTTCTGCTTCCGAGTGTTAATTAAGGACAACGTAGAAAATTTGAAGAATTTGGAGACATTCTTATGGTGGTTCGCTGCATGTTTAAGACTTAAATCTGTCCATCTTAAACACAAAGGTTGTTTTGACATTATTGGCGCACCAAGTCGAATTTTACAGTGAAAATTTAACACAAAACAGTCTGATGTCTTAATCATATTGGAAGGAAGGTTACACTGAAACAGATTTCCTTCTGAGCTGGCTGAGGGGTGGTCAGTTTTTCTCCTCTCAAAATGCCAAAGAGGGATGTAGTCTTTGTTTACAATGTGTGAGCCGTAGGGTTGCCGAGTCTGTGCCGGCGTTTGTAATTCAACACCGGCTGGCAAAACGCAGCAGAGTTTTGGACAGACCTAAACCAAGAGAAGCCCAGGTGTTGCCACGGCATCTTTGTGTTCGGGTAAAGCCGGGCGTACACTGTGCGACTTTTTCACCTTTTTGAGCCGATTTTCCACTCGTGCGAGAATCCACAAGATCGGGGCGAGTTTTGCGCTGAGCGTCGTGTAGTGTACAGGGGGTTATGAGAGGCGATTAACACCACGTGACCTGCTACCGATCAACAATCGTGAGCTCGCACGGACTTCTGGAGTGTTTGATATTTTTCTCGTTCCTCGTGAGGGTTGAAGCGAGCGGCTGCAACCCAAAAAGTATCAGAACCGCTCACGGCGCATGCGCAATCATGCATCAACACCACTCACACGCTATTTCCCTAATAACACACGTTGTTCGTTTTTATTTCTAAACGTTTTTTTACACACAAAGACAAGGATTGTCAAGAAAGTGTGTTTGTCAGGTTCATGTCAAATTAAACTGATCACAAAACACAGATTTACTTTCTTTATTTCGTTTTCCTCATCCAACCCCCATAAATCCCTGTGTGTCCTCCTGCAGCACTCCCAAAGGACAACAGGTAAGACAAAAAAGTCTGACGTGTTGTGTAAAAACTGCTATTTTTAGCATATTTTTAGGTCCGACGTGTTGCTAGACGTACAGTGTGAGCAGTCAGGTCGCATCCGAGAACTGGGTCGTACAGTGTGAGCGCATGACTCGTGAGATCTGCCCTGCGGAGAAGTCGTACAGTTTGAGCTGAAGCTGAGTGCTACTAGTGAAAAAGTCGCACAGTGTCCGCCCGGCTTAAAGAAGGATAGAGGCTAACATCGAGCTAACAATGCTAACTGTGAATTACACACAGTCGGCCTTAAAAAAAATCTCACGATACTTTTTCAATTGCAGACAATTCGATATTACAGTGAAATGTATTACTCTACTTATCAACTTGCCGCATATGACTCGTCTTACCTCATCCTCTATCTTCTGGTGCTGTACGTTAGCACTAGCTATGAACTCTAAATGCATCACATGTACTATGTTGGACATCAATGTCCCTCTCAAATAAACATTAAATGATTTGTAAATAGCAACAACTGTGAAAAAACAGGAGTGAGAGCGTCATTCGTGTGTCTTGAAAGTGGGCTGCGGTACCCAAATTTTACCACAAGATGTTCGTTCTTACACCATGCACCTAAAAACAATGAAGCATAAAGGCAAAAAGGTCCTACATAACAATGCAAACCTCCAGCTTTTGTCTTGTTTTTAAACTTGTATGAGGAACATAAAGTATTCAACTGAAAAGGACCTCATCAGCTAGCTTAGCGAACTAGGTCTAGGAACGCTCGACTCTGCGGCCCCTAGCAGCATTCTGGCTGGCCAATCACAGCTCTCTATTGGGGCTTCCAACCAATAGAGCGCTATGATTGGTCCACAATGGTAGGCCAATTACAGCGTTCTATCGGCTTTGTGGTCCAGTCAAGGCACTCTATTGGTTTGGTGGGCGGGACGATGCGACATAGTGGACCAAGATGGCGACAGCTTGTTTGAAACACCTTGTACATCAATTTTGGACTATTTGGACTTGGGCGTTGTTAGAATCAGGAACAGAAAGATGTAATTAAGTCCTTTATTAGGAAAAAGGATGTATTTTTCCCATCTTCAACAGCAGACTGCCTCGTTGACCGACATCCATTGCGGTGAGTACGTCACGTTGTTTGTTGTCCACTAGCATCTTAGTAGTATCTTTTGAAAGACAAGGAAGATCCCGCCCCATGACGGAGAACCTTCAAATGAGCATTGCCAGACTGTTTGTAGGAGAATATTTGGATAGTCATGCAAACATGTGGTTCAGAATGTTATTGGTTTCAGAGACAAGTTTGCAAAAAATGCAAAAACATAATGTTCTGATTTGTTTTACTTGAACACTGGATTTATTCCTCTCAGGACGTGGTGTTGCAGCAGAATAACTACAGAACGCTGAACATATTAATCAAACATCTTTAATATTTTTAATGATTTTAAAGATGGCTGTTTTTCTTTTAACTTTACACCAATAAGCATTTCTAAAACTGTGATACGGAGACGTTTACCACCAGGTTGCATCACCTCCTCTTCAAACTCTGTTGAGACGGTAGACACCAATAGTGTTGTTTTTATATGAGTTATTTCATCATACAGGATGGCAGCAAATGCTGATGGTGCTTTCACAGATGTGCATGTTACATGTGCACTAATGCACCCTTTAAAGTTGGCTTTTGAATTGTGAATTGCAAAAAAGCCAGATGGTCTTTTGCCTCTTTAGCCCAGAGGCACGACATCTATACCTTCCAGTAGAATTTAGGTCTTTATTTGTGAGAAAACCATCCTCCGTCCACAAAGCTACTCCCCGAAAACAGGTCTGTTTTCCTCGTTTTTATTATTTGTTATTATTTGCAGTTTTATATTCAGGAACGTTTCAAATTTCTGGCACATGAAGGTTTGTTTTAATTGCTAATGTGGTAAAATTATGTAACCGGACTTGATTTTTACAATCGTTTAGCAAGTCAAAACTAAAAAAATACAGGAATCACATATTTTATGAATAATTTTAAGCATTCCTCAAAGCAGCTTATATTTTTATTTTTCAATACATTTTTACATTTACATTTAGAGTCTCCAACTACCTGACATGGGGGATTTTGTTCTGTAGGAAAAACTAGAATATAGTATGATATCGGATGAAGGTACTAAGGCTACAAAGGCATTGATGGAAGCTTTTTCCAAGGGGGTCAAATTTAGTTTGATTTCTGTTGACCATAAGAAACCGTCTCCCGTTATTTCCTGACCCATAATGGTGCCCCAAACTGGGCTAATTTAGAATAGCATGCTGGTGTTTGGTTCCTGTTGTCATTCGGGCCTTGACCTGAATAAGAAATACACAAAAAATAAAAACAAATACAACTGGAGGTACATTTTAGAGCTCAAAATGTCCAAAAATCACTCATCAGAACATTTTGCGTGCCACTTGGCTGTTCATTAAACATGCTGAATGATGTGAAGCATTGATGTGCTGCAGAAGGTGTCCCACACCTTTGTTTTCACATACCAACAGCATCATGTAGAGCCGAGCGAATTTCTGAGCTCATCAGTGATGAGACGGTTCACGTTCCAGTTACGTGCTCGCCGAGTCTCTGGCAATGTAAACGCGTTGTCCACCAACACCAGCTCAGATTCAGTCCAAGTTCAAATGTTTGCTTATATTATTTTGTAAATGCACTTTTTTATTATATGGAAGTATTTTTGAAGTTCTTGCACGGTGCTGAGAGGATTTGTCATTTTGTCTCCAGATGATGGGAAGCTGTCCTTTGATGAGTTTAAATCCTACTTCTCTGATGGGGTCCTAACAGCCGAGGAGCTGAAGGAGCTTTTCCACGCCATCGATACTCACAACACCGAGTGAGTTGTTTGGGTTTTAACTTATCCATGCACAGGGAGGGTTAGGGTTGAGTTTGCTGTTGCTAGAGTGCCTTGACATGAAAGTGGGTCTTTAGTCAGGACTTAAAAACCATCAATGAGGGTGACTGATGCACCACCGATTGCAACTGGTTGCAAAATGTGGGAGCCAACACCGAAAATGCACGGTCCCCCCCGTGACCTGCACTTTGAGTGAGGAACCACCAGCAGCCCCCTGTCGGCCGAGCGAAGGGGTATCACTATGCAGGAGGAGTTTTGTCCACAGTGGTCTCTCCCTTAGAAATAGGGCGAAAAGCTTGGTCACCCAGGAGGAGCTTGGAGTAGATCCGTTCCTCCTCCACATAGAGAGGAAATGCCTCCTGGACGCCTCCCTGGTGAGGTTTTCCGGGCACGTCCGACTGGGAGGAGACCTAAAGAAAGACCCAGGACACGCCGGAGGGACTTTCTCACCGCTGGCCAGGGAACGTCTTAGGATTTCCCCGGAGGAGCTGGCTGGGGAGAGGGAAGTCAGAGCCTCTGCTTAGGCTGCTGCCCCCGCCAGCTGACCCTGGATAAGCAGATGAAAATGGATGGATGGAAATTTTTTTAAAATACTTTAATAACTGTAGATTTATTTTTCTTTTTTATGTTTGTCCCTTTTTATTTTGTCTATAAAACACAGCACTTTCACCAGTTTACCCTCCAGGATGGTTGGAAAACAAAAAGAGCCTCATCAGAAACTGCTTGATGGTCCGTTTCTCCTTTTCATGAAGTGTTTTCTCGTGTTTGCACAACTCTCCCCTGGTCAACGTCGTAGGGGCTGCATGACTTAATTTTTAAAAAAGTTGATAGTCAAGTAATGAAAATAGAGTCGGCTTTAACTAGTCGATGACGTCATACACCTGAAGCGGTGCGCGCGCGGGGGGGAGGGGGGGGGGGGGTTGGTTGTTTCGCTGGAGTTTTTGACAATTAAAATTGCGTCCACATTTTCAAAGTTAACACATATCTCTTTAAACAACGGTAGTTTCTGCATCTGGTTCCCCCGCTTCAGCCCTCTCCCCCCTCCCCCTGCGCAGTGGCCAGAAACTCACCGGCGTTCCTGCAGCCTCTCAGAGTTCCTGCTGCTCTAAACATTAAAATAATTATTTCATTTTCTGTTCCTCACTTCTGATTACCTTCAATGGTGTCTGTTTGTTGCAACCACCAGGTACAAAAACTAACTTGTTTTTATTTGGCTATTTTTCTGTCCTGCCTGTTTATTATCTTCCTGCATCTCCTGTCAATCCTAAAGAAAAACTGCTACCTGGGTTCATATATATTCACCTCATGAGCTACCTTTGAACTGCAGTTCTAAAAGATCTACCGACAGCAAAAACAGCGGAGTGCGCGCTGCTCGCGGCCGCATCAGTGATCGGTGCGTCACCGGAGGACAAAACAGGTGATGCGCTCTGCTCCACGCATCAGGCACAAATAAAAGACCGAAAACATAAAAGGAAATGAGCCGACATGAACGGTCGCGTGTTAAATTTGTTTTTGAGGTGGTGACACCTAATTTGATAATGTTACTGTGGCCGTGCTCAGGACGCAGATGTCTGGAGCGCGTCAACGATCAGAGCTTTGCATGCTGGTTAAGGTTAGGATGGGGGTGAGGGGAAGGTTAAATTGCAAGAGGGTAAACGTCACAATTTGGTTAAATGTCCGTTTTACGGCGGGTGTCAGTACCGACGCTCTGGCACAGCGCATCACCTCCCAACGCGCAGGGGCTCATCACCTGCTGTCTTTTCCGAGGACTGCATCTTATCGGTCATTATCACGTGACAGTGACTAGTCTGTGAAAGGCATAAAAAGTCACTACAGAGCAGTGAAGTCGACTAGTTCATACAACCCCTACAATGTAGTGTGAGACAGAGTTAGAACCAGTGCAAACCCCCAGACTCTGCCTCTTTACTGACGTGTGTGTGTGTGTGTGTGTGTGTGTTTGTGTCTAACAGAGAACAATAGATTCTTTTAATGTTTTTTCAACAACTTTTCCTTTCTAACACCTTTCAGACTCGGACAGCCTGAATGCACAAGTATTAAGTACAATCAGTTATCAAGGAGTTCCCTGTCTGGTCAAAAAACATAAAATAAAACAAATTAAAGCATATTTCTATCTGAGGTCACATTATAATTAAAAAAATGTTTGTCCAGAACAATCGGGAAAGAATTTAAGCTAATTAACAATTAAAAAGGTCATTTTTAAAAATGTGTTCTTTGCTGATTTTTGCAGCAATTTGGACACTGATGAACTCTGTGGTGAGTTCAGTCTTTTCCTAAATGAAATTTGTATTGTAATAAAATGCAAGAAACAGTTATGTACAACCCCTACAAGGTATGACTTGTGTGTGTATTTTGCAGGGTACTTCTCCGAGCACCTTGGTGAATATGAGAATGTTCTTGCAGCTCTGGAGGACCTGAACATGTCCATATTAAAGGCAATGGACAAGACAAAGAAGGTAAGAAGGCAACGGGTGTTTTTTGACTAATTACTTTCCTAAACTAATGATTGTTGGTCAGGTTGTTATTTGGAGACCAAATGTAAAAAAGATCACGTCTAATGCAGTGAAATTTTAAAATTTCTTTTAAGAAATAATGACAAGGAGAGGTTCTGCTTGTGGTTTATTTATCGCATGGACAAACATCAGTCAGTATTTTTGCTTTTAATAACCCATTTCAGAGTGTGTAAGCCTATTTGTCTTATTTATCTGCAATGCTAATCTGATCTGATGTTGATGTGTTAGTGATATTACGGCCTCCAACCTTGGAAGAAGTTAGGTGTGAGAGGTCCTGGGTGAAAATCCCGGACAAGCCCCCAATTGTTACAACCCAGCTCATTTTGCCATAACAAAAGGAGTTGCACCATGTAACAGTTACAGTTTTGTTTACCTGTTTGTAGCTACAGTTTCGCCGACGGCTGCCGGCTTCTTCAGGCTGACGCTGATGGTGGCGCGTCACTTCCTTCTCCGTTTAGAGTAAACAAAACTGTTTCTGTGTTTAAAAAAGAACGAAAGAATGGATTTAGAAAGACACAGCAAGAACACACCTAAGATGTAACAGTTAGTTAAATATTATTCATTCAACCAAAATAATGTTAATTTAACCTGTAGAAAACAAAAGTTAAAACAAGGAGGTGCAAATTGAACACAAATTTAACGCAGCATAAATAGTAGGGATGTGACAAAATATCGTTTGGCGAAAACTCACGATACAAAACGTGACAAAATGCATCAAGGTAAAAAAAAAAAGGACCACGAAATTAGACTAGGCAGCACTGCTGCATGATTTGTGTAGTAGTAGGGCAGGCATACAGTCTATGGTGACAAGCTGATAGCACCATCTCTGCTGATAAAGCAGGGTAAAACTAAATTAAAAACATCCGGGGAAAGGTGCAGTGCGTCGTGACGTCAAGTCACAGCGTATGTTGTAACAACATCACTGCAGGCTACAGCGAGTGAACAAATATTAGCATTAGCACCAAGTTGGTGCCACCAACTGCCTTGCCCCCAAATAACAGAACAATGGAGTCAAATGTGGTCAAAATTGAGGATGCTCTTCCTGGATACAGGTCATCTGTCTGGCAGTAGTTTGGCTTTCCGATTAAAAAAGACAATGACGGCAATAGAGTAACGGAAAAGACCAAGACTGTGTGTAAGCTCTGCTATGCTGTCATTCCGTACACCACCTCCAACACAACAAACATGAACCACCACCTTCAACGTTACCATAAAAATGTGAAGACGGCCTTGGCGAAAACAAGTCTACCGAAAGGACAGCGGACCATGAAACAAGCACTGACACCAACTCTCCCTCCGTCAAGTCCACGTGCAAAACAGATAACCCGGCTCATTGGTGAGTTCATAGTGGACTACATGGCTCCATTTAACATATTAGAGAACAGAAAATTCATCCAAATGTTCAAGGTGCTGGAGCCCAAGTTTAAGATGCCATGCCGAGGACATTTTTAAGAGAAAGTAATCCCGGAAATTTACAATGAAACGAAACAAAGCGTGAAAGAGTGTAAAAAATGCCGACTGCGTCGCTCTGACCACCGACAGCTGGACCTCGCGTGCAACACAGAGTTATGTCACCGTCACGGCACAAGTCATCAACGAAAAATGGGAGAGTAAAAGCTTTGTGTTGCAAACTCGTGAGCTAAGTGAAAGTCATACTAGTGTTAACATAGCTCAAGTGTTAAGAAATTCACTGAGTGAGTGGGAGCTAACAAGGCCACACACAACCATTGCTTGTGTCACAGACAACGCGAGCAACCTGGACATTGCTGTGAGAGAGAGCGGTCTCCACCCTCACATCAAGTGCTTGGCGCATGTTGTGAATCTGGCCAGTAAGAGAGGCTTGGCTGTATCCCACGTTGCGCGCCTTCTTGGTCGTGTGCAAAGAATAACTAAATTTTTTCACAAGAGCACCACGGCCACCGCAGTCCTGACCAACGAGCAAACCCAGTTGGAACTGCCTCGGCATAAACTCATCGCCGATGTCCAGACCAGGTGGAACAGCATGTACGACATGCTGGCGCGCTACCTGGAGCAGCAAGCAGCTGTCTCAGCACCATTGAGCTGCCCAGAAGTCCGAAGGAATGCGAGAGAAATCGACACTCTGGATCACACTGATCTATAAGATGTAGAAGACATAGTGAAACTGCTTAAGCCACTAAAGACAGCCACAACTGTTGTCTGTGATGAAAAAGAGCCCACTGTTTCACTGATAATGCCACTGAAGCACATGATCGAGCAAAGCATGTCACCAAACGGAAATGACACACAGACCATCGCCAACATGAAAAGCGCCATCTTACTCAACATCTCGGATCGATGCACCGGGGACTGTAATGACATGCTGCAGGAGTGCACAGCGCTTGACCCACGATTCAGAAGCCTGTCCCATCTGAATGATGAACAACGTGAGTCCATCTATGCCCGAATATGTGAAAAAGCTTCAGCACTTCATGAGCAGCGCAACCAGGTAGGCTAACTTTTATTGAAAAAATAAATTCTGAGGTTTCCTGCTGCATGTGTGTAACCCTGCATGTATGTGCAGGCCAGAGTCTGAAAACTTATTTCTCATGTTTTTTTATTAGTCGATCAGAGAGAGAGAGAGTGAAGGACAGAAATGTTTAACTAGTTTTTCTATTTTATTTATTTTCAGACCAGTTACACTGATGAAAGAACCACTAGGGCCAGTGCTTCAACATCAGAGGCAGCAGCAGAGCAGGCCAGGGTCATGGCTGAGGCAGCACAGGGAGCAGAGCAGAGCCAGGAAGAGCCAGTAGAAGGAGAAAGGCAGATGCAGGATGCGACACAGCCTCCCCCACCAAAGAAGACAGCGTTGGAAGATCTCCTTGGGAGCTCCTACACTACTGTTGAGACAGTGCAGACCAGCAGAGGGATTGAAATGGAGATACTCTCCTACAGGAGTGGGATTCCCATCCCACTCAACAGAAGTCCACTTGAGTGGTGGACAGTTAATGCTTATGCTTACCCCATACTTGCCCCCCTTGCCAAAGCCTACCTTTGCATTCCTGCTACATCGGTGCCCAGTGTGCGTGTCTTTTCCACGGCAGGAGACATTGTGTCTGCTCAAAGATCACTGATTACACCAGAACATGTTGATATGTTAGTTTTTTTGAAGAAGAACCAGTCCTGAGATAAGTTAACCAAGGCCTATAGCAGCACGTTTGTGTTTGGCCTGTTAGGCCTTGTGTTTCCCTGTGTGCAACTGGAAAAAAATAAACAAGTTGTTATTATACAGTAATAAATTTTTCCTTTTTTTTCTTATTTGATATCGTTTTGTGACTCAGACATATCAAGGTGCATCGTATCGTGAGTTTTAAGTAGATCGTCCCATTCCTAATAAATAGACACCCCAGGTGTTCTACATTACCCGATAAACCAGGTAAATTAGGTAGACTGTCCTGGTTGACCACAAAATGACCAGCAGGGTCGTAACAAATGATTTTTGACAAAGCAATGTCCATAGGAGTTGTCTAAATTAAAAGCAATAGGCAGCAGTTTTTAAGAGCAAATTAAAGAATTTTAGCCACAAAAGTGGCATTAAGCTGACAAAATGGCTGAAAAACCAATTAGTTGTAAAATCGATGTGTACAAGATCAATATTGCAAATTGGACTGCTTTAAATGAGATAGTCAAAGTGACAAGAGATCAATCAACAAAACCCATCGGATTGAAATTAAAAAGTTAATGAAATAGATTTTCTCGGATTGTGACTCCAGTTTTGTCTCTCCAGAGGTCCCATTTTTCAAATTTCTATTAAAGCCACTGCTTACTCATACTAATGAAACAAAACAAAAGCAAGCTAATTACAACATAAATGTCAAATTAAACGAGCTGTTCTTGTACCATGAAGCATTTTTTTCATTACGATATTACAGATAAGAAATAGGATTAAAGCTGAAAATGAGAGTAAATTATCAGAGATTAAAGTGACACGTGGACAAAATAGAAGCTTTTGTCCTTCCACCAGCTCTCGTTTTTCGATTGTATCTCATCAGACACATTATGACAGATGCTGCGGCGCTCAAATCAGCCCTCAGATCAGCACACAAGTCGACAACGTCTTGCTGTGGACACTGTGTGGGAGTCAGAGCGTTCATCTGTCAGTTCTAGTTTTTTTTTCCTTCTAACAGCACAGAAATAAGTGTCAACAGTCCCAACCCACTGAAAACTCAAACAGCAGAGCCAGATAGGTTTTAGTTCAGTGGTATCAGTATTACAAATGAAATAGTTAAGATTTATCCAGAAATTTAAAACTGTTTAAGTCTTTAGGAATAATGGAACAAGATTGAAAAGATGTCATGAATGTAAAAATGTAGAAAAGACAAAAATTCAATTTAAACTTTTTCGTTTTTGGTCGTCATCCCAACAAGCTGCAGCTGTTCGCAACAAATCACGAACAAAATTCGCAAGGAGTTTGTAAAAGTTTTTGCAACAAGGATTCAAAGAATCATTGCAGGTTCCAGCAACCTGTCTCCGGGAGTTGGTGGCTGAATTACGAACAGTTTGTGGCTGAATTTGTAGGGATGTTGGGCAAATACTGGGATTAATTTGTAGTTTAACATATGCAAAAGTATTTCACCAATTCAGTGAGACTCCAGCTGAAAATCGGCATTGCACAAACAAAACTAAGAGCAACATTCTTCATGAATGACCATGGAATCAAATTTACAAATGTCATTTTAATCTGTCGTCTTTAGCATGATGTCATCAAGGAGATGAGGATATGGCTGTGGCTTCTGCCCCTGCTTCGCCTTCCTTTTTGGAAGGAGCTGGAAGTGATGCATCATACCGCGCACGTGCCCACAAATAGCCTTGTAGCGCTAACGGAAAAGTAATGTTTTCAATATGTTCCTGCTCAGACACACCTGATTCTAACAGCATTGATCAAGGTCTGCAGGAGCAGCTAATCACTCGTTTTAATCAAA